CAGGAAACTTTATAGATAGATAGATCTCATTGAATGGAAGTGCAGTGCAAAAAACATAACTACGCCTTGCCTAATTTTGGAATTTTTGCCCTTTGTTCATTTTTTTTTATACTTTCCTGTGTCCAGAACCTTCTCGGGGAGCATCATCCGGTTCAACCGGTTCTTGTTCAAGGCCGTTTGCGAAACATGCATTTCCCACTCCCCGGTTTTTATGTAAAAGGTGTTTAATCTTTAAAAGCATGCAGTTCCAAGGCCATTACGTAGTTCATTCTGTGCATTACGTGCCGATTCTAAAATAAAAGAAAATAAGTTTTTGTGAAATTTAAATGATTTACGATAAAACATTTAAAATTCTTATCTGAAGTTTTGATAATGTGCGCTTTTTCGCATGATCGTTTAATGTCTATGTATTTCATGTGCATATCTTTTTTGTAGCATTTTGATTTGACTAAACTTTAATTGAAGATTGATAACCTGCCCTGCTATAATTTGCTGATCCATTTCGTTCTTAGTCTTCGTCGTTCTTTTTCATCCAATGACAAGACCTAAATTAAAGAATTTCAGACAGTCTATTCCGCAAAACTGTTACCAATAGCGTTTATTTTAACCGTCTATTTAAAAGTCGCGTCTATCTTTTCAAACAAAGCGGGTACATAACTACATACGAACTAAATTAGTTAGACGCTTATAATGAAAAAAATAAACGGGTTAAACAGCTACAATCGCTCCTACGCCGATTCTTTTGATCTGTTTAAATTAGTTTTTTTACTTATTATTACATTTTGTAAGGTTTACAGGCACAGCTATGAATGAATGGGTTATGCTTCTCGGCAGGTTCTTCAAAAGTGTCTCTGCTAATCGATTATTATTTTTTACAAGGCTAAGATACTGCATTAAAGGCACAATTTTAAATAATAAGCTAGTTTCTAAATGTATCTTCATATAATAAAATGTTTCAAAATATATTGCCTTACATTTTATCAAAATCAAACATTGATTCAGTCTAAGATTTAAATTGGTATACAATGGAGGGTCTGTAATTCTATAGATAATTATGTTGAAAGTATTTTCTGTCATACATTACAACATGTATGGATATGGATTTTGTTGGTAAATGCGAGATACTACATATCTTTTGTTAGCAAATAATAAATTGTTCTAGAACAAAGCATTATTATTTGTCATTCATATAAATGTTTATACTAAATCACCAACAAGTCTTACGAACTTTTTTTAATATAAATTTTATAACAATAAACAAATGATACATTTCAATTGTTTTGATCATTATCTGAAATACATAATGGAACATTTGCTCATTGTAGACCATTCCACGTTAACAGGATCACATTATTGTTCATGAGCTGTAGTCGCTTAAGGTAAGATTAAATTAATTTTGGTATAATGTACGTACATACATGGTATTATAACATATAGAGTGAGACATAACATAAACATGAGCACAAAAAACCTTGACATGCACACCAGTAGAAGGAATAACACAAAAAGCGTAAACCCTTAATTCAATTGCGATCCATAAGGCAGCACGACGCCAGATTCGTGGGTTTTTTATTCATTAAAAAAACTATTCTAAGGAATACTTATGTTGCAAAAATGTTTTAATCAGGTTATTAAGTGATTTAGCATTTAACTTAGCCTACGTCATTTACTTTCACTCAAAAGAAAATACTTAGTATTCGCCTAAGTGTATAGACATTTCTCACATTTCTCTGGCCCCGATAGTAACAAGGTAACACTTTGAATATAAAAAATAGTAAGTTATGATTACATTTTTCATAAAACAGTTTTTAAGTTACACATGTTCTGTTTATTTTGATATATTCTTTATATAAGTATAAATATATTTTTAATCAAGCTTGGTTATTTTCATTCATTCTATTTCAGTTATTTATATTCATTTTGATGCATGTCGCTTTAGATACACTCCATCAATTGACAACATTTGTAGCTATTTATAGATATGCGTAATACAAACATGTTAAATATTTTGTTTATTATTGATGCAACATTGATAACTTTAATGCGTGTTATATTTGGCTATAAAAAGAGATGTTTTTAAACATTTCCCGGTCTTTTATCACAACATCTCGATCATAACATATTGCGGTGACGCATTTTATTAATTTTCTAAAAACTGAACATGACAACAAAGTATTTTCATAAAAACGCCCACGAATTGAAAATGAATGAAGTTATTCAGTTTTCAAAAAAACATGTTCAGGCCTTTTCCTAGTGTCACCACGTGTCAGAATATCAGAGCCATTCCCAATGGCAAATCAAGCTGAAATTCCAAATATCCAACCAGAGTTCCTGATGTTCATTCCGGTATCTAACAACAGATGTTTCCTCACATTTTATCTTCAAATATTATTGTTTGTATAATGCTTTGATGGATATTTATGTTTTTAGAATAAACATTGTCGTACAATTCAAATACTGTGCCAAAAGAGCCTGAAAGGAGGTTTCAAATGGTACCAAAAGAGGGTACCAAATAGTTTTCCATAAAAAAAAAACAATTTTACAACGCAAAATTTCCTAAACTGGGCCAGGTACTTTTCTTTTTTTAAAAAGCTAGGAAAAGGCCTGATTTTAAAGTATTTGGATGGAATCCTATTCATTTGGAAATGCGTCTTGAGATAATAAAAATTAAAAATTTTAAAGGAAAAATATTGTGTTTTTCATGTAAGAATCTTAACCCTATCTTTGATAATGTTCTTTATTTAATAACAAAACTGAAAATAAGCGGAAAGCAAACACAAAGACATAGTTTTTTTGCCTTAGAATTGTTTAAGTAAATGAAAGATTGTAGAAACAAAAAATGACATATTTAATAGTTTGCCCCTTTTTATTTTCCGTATTTAAGCCATCAAAACGCTTATCAATAAGCGCAACAAGATTTAATTTTGCTAGGCTGTTAAACTTTATTGTACAAGTTAAGTGCACTTGAAAAACACGAGTTTGAATTTATACGGGTTTGAGATCTGGTTCATTTTGTAAGTCATAAATCAACACGTAATGACGAAAACATATTTCCTATGAAATGTCATTCTGTTTCTAACAGTCAATGAGTAACAACTAAATTCGGTGAGGCGGTAGGCATACTTAAACGTAATAAATTGTGAATGATTTCAAGGTTGGGAGTGGGTGTTATTAGTATTTTCAAAATTGAAACTTCAGTAAGCTACATTAAGTAATCCTTTACGCAAAGACATAATGATCCTAATAACTGTCTTGTTAGTAATATGTTTATATATACATGTATAAGTAAAGGGTAGTTTTTGTTGTGCAATTTAGAGAAGCGGACAGTGCATTCTGATCTTTGGTCTGCGCTGGTCACACGAGTAGATTTTTTGCCGCCAAGTAGCAATGGGTAAACGCAAGTCAAGAGCGCTTCGACAATTATTCTGTGAAATGCAATTTAAGGAATATATTGCATCGCAAGATGCCCTATACTTTACTTTAAAAAGCTTGTTTTAAACCTTCAATTTTTAGCTTGAATTCAAACTGACTCAAAGTTCAGTATTTCTCAACACCAAATAAGTGTTCGAAAACCCTTGTGTTTTTCATGGTGTTTCTTTTGTTCTGTGTGCTTACTTATTTATTTCATTTTATTTAATTTTATTGTTGTTATTGTTTGGTGGGTATACTTTATTCCTTTGTTTGTTTTTGGTATTCTTGGGTTGGGGGTTGTTGTATCGATGGTTTGTTTCAAAAAAAATATAGTTATTTCTAAAAGTTTAAAACTTAATGTTCAAAAATAAACAAAACAAACGGTGAAACGAAAGTACAAATATTAAACACGTTTCTCTATAGCGTGAACACATATATATTGATATAGATCGTTTATTTTTTATATCATGCATTTGGGTATTCCATACTAACTATATATTTAAACCCATGTACAGTATTAACGTATTTTTAATATGCAATTATACCTGCAAAATATTGGCTTTTTGCATTACTGTAGATATATCCACAGTCAATGTATGTGAGTAAAATAATTATATATGTGCTTTGAATCATATTTCGTTATTATTTATTGCATAGTACATGTATATATGAAATATATTATAATTTTGTGTTTCTCTTTGCTGTCCAAGGTGCTTATTGTATATTATGTAAATTCGCATGTATGGTCTCTTTTATTTGTATGTATGCATACAGAGAACATGTTAATAAAACTAGAAACTTGAAAACTTAAAATATAATCATCAATAAATGTAACACGGTCAGTAATATGCCATTGCAATCATCTATTGAAATAATTGTTAAACATTTGAAAATGGTACGCAAGTGCATTTAGTTTAAAGTGAATTTATTTTAGTTCGATTTGTTTGGACGCTATAAGCTCTATTCAGCTACTCGACAGATTGTGTTATTCTGCCACATTGGCACTCACATTTGTTTGAAATAATACAATAAAGGGCTTCAAAAGTCTTTTTCTACTACAATAAAGCAAGATTTACACACATGACCTCCGAAATGTGGCTCTTAAAACCGGGCAAAATAAACGAATGAATAGATTTAAAATGGCAATATATATTATAAGTTCGACATGGTTAAACTATTATAAAACTGTGTTTGTTTTGTATTTCTAAATCAAACGTTGAAATATTTAAATGTAATGTTATTAAAATAATAAAATTACAAAATCTTAATTTCTTAATATTTAGTACTATTGTACGTTAGAAAATCGTGTACGCATTTTTAAATATAGTTGAGTTAAATGCATGATTTATTTATAAACATATAGCCAAAAAAATAATATATTTCCGATACTTTCGAAACAGGTAATTGTTTTGTTTTTGTTTACAAGTAATATATTCATTAGTGTAACCACATCCTAGAAACTAGTTTTATTTGCACCTTCCTAAATAAGAAATTAAGTGATTTGTGACTGCTATTAACCAATGGAGAACATCCACAGCATGCATGTCATGTCTTTTCAAATTTAAATACTTAAGTCATTCAGTTTTGAAAACATATTTGCCGAATTTTAGTCAATATCAGGGTATTAACAAAATAAATGCATGATGCGTGTGCATGATACAATTGTGTAAGGAAAACCGATACGCGCTTTAAATACGGTGAGTTACGGGTAGTTACGGCGTATGAAATATAACCCAAACTTCAAAATTTATTACAGCTAGATACAATATTTCAAGGGGCTTTCGGTTTTCAAAGATATTTTCAAAGATATTGTGATGACACTTCTAAAGGATTTTGTACTTTAATTAACATTAAAGGCAGTTTCAATACGTGTAAAATGTGAGTAAAATTAAATAGTTACAAATCAATAAATATAAATGTCAATGGTTAAAAATGTGTGTTATTATGTTTCTAAATTTAAAACATATTGTATTTTATTATGGTTATGTACATTTAACATTGCATTTGCTAAATATAGTAAACTAAACAAATGTATCATTTTGTGAATAATCGAAATAAATTGAACAAAGGCTTAATCGGATACTTGTGACGTTCAGAAACTTTGTTTAATTAATATCGGTATAATATATATCCTAATCTAAAACATGTATCTAAGTTTATCTTAGTGCATTTTAATTTTGATTCCAGAATAACTTGAATGGCGTTAACAAAAGCGAGGTACAAAAGGTTGAAAGCGAACCCGTGCATTCGACTTTAGTCATACAATTAAAACAAAAAAGAACTGCTAAGATTTTAGGGATATCTGTGTTAATTTAAATGAAATTAAGATAAAGGTGCATTGATATGATAATGCAATTGATTTTTAAATAGATTTATGTGGACATATGTGTTAACGGGATATCCAATAAACTTGTTTGTAAATGTTGATTGTTTGAACAAGCACAAATATATGGAATTAGATAAACATAGCTGGATAGCTCATCAATGTGTTGTTAAAAAATAATCCTGAATGCTAGAAATGCACATTATACATTTAAATTAAAGTTGAGGATAATTTTTCTCAAAATTTATTGATGTTAACTTGGAATTTTATCTCGAAGACGGTGATAATTGTCCAAAGACAAAACTGCTGTCGTCTAAGAAAATGTAGTTTAAGCAATGATTATTATAGTGTAACGTATTGTGCAATAAGTAAGGGGTATGGGCATAATTCTGATATTAACAAGGACATTGTTATATTAATACTAGATATTTTTCATATAGCATGTATAAATAATATCCAGTGGCCGCCATTTATGGAGGTCGTTTACTAAATATTTCATGCGTAAGATTCCATGATAAATCTCTTACAAAATATAAAATATTGATGCTTTAATAATAAAATAAAAATAATAATAATAATAATAAAAACGATAATTATAATAATAATTATAATACTAATAATAAATGAATAAATAAATAATAATAATATAAATAATAATAATAATAAGAGCAATAATAATACATGTAATAATAATAATAATAAAGATGATAATAATGATAGTAATAAGAATAATAATCATAATAACAATAATAATAATAATAACAATAATGATACTATTAATGATATTGATGATAATTATGATAATAATAATGATAATAATTTCCTTCATTTGAAAACATAATTTGACAAAAATGATTTAATCAAATATTTATATTGCCTTTTGCACATTACGTTTTAAACCCAGAATATTGAACACCAAAATGGCTGCCATTTTTTGACAAGGGAAGTAAATATTGTAAAATCAATCTATTCCAAAACAATGCACCTACTCAATGCAAACTGATGACCACTCCAAACCATACTGAGATTGCATAACAAAGGGATAAGATACTGGACCTAGACATTATTTGAACAACTTTATTTTAAGACCTATATGCATAGTGAAATAAATAGAATAACCATACATTGGAATATCTTATTTTTGTACTATTCAATTGTCACCTATAAACCAAAGAAATGATGTCAGCAAAGTTGAATTATGAAATGCATCACAACAAAAGTAAACATGATTGAATAAATTATAGCATTTGAAAGATTAAAAAAAAATATAATAATTACACAGAACTGAATCTTAACACTGCAGCTCAATATTTTAAAAAAAAATACTAGTAATTATTAATTTTTTCATCTTATCTCTTTTTCATCTCAACAGCACCACAAGAATATTACATTTATTGTTGTTTAGTTGTGTTCTGTTAAGTTGTTGTTGTTTGTGTTTGGTCTTTTTCTTTTGTTTTGGTTATTTTAGTTTCTTCTTTACTACACCTTAATTAGCATAGTCATAGTTAATCGAATATTATCTATCTATATATTTATTTTTATAATTATTTTCTCTGTCAGCACAACCATCCGATTGTGAACACAGATTACATTGTGAATCACATAAAACTACTTAGTGGTAAAAAAATCTTTTTGTTCCATATAATCGTTTCATTTTTTCAATTCCTTTGGTTCATTTATTTTTTAAATTGGCACCAGTTCTTTGTTAAATACTGTTCCTTTAAATTAGAGATGATAAGGATGTGTATTTTATTTCTTAGATGAATGCGAGTATTCTAACAACTAGCATAGTTTTGCTGGCTGCCTTAGTGTATCGGGATGTCGTTGTCGCAAGGGTTACTTCTACACAAGCACCAAATTCAACAAATATACTCAACACTACAGGCCAGGGCATTATTACCACTTCTCAACCATTAGCTAACAACTCAACAACTGATCTACCTCGTGTTAACACTACAATTTTCGATGAAGCATATCCAAACGCAACAGAAAGTACAAAAGCAAACCAAGGCACTGACAGTTCACAAGCATTGCCAGGAAATAGTTCGACTTTAGAAAACGCAACAGATAACGGTGTTGAAGAAAGAGGTAAAGAAGAGTGGGACCATGAACATCCAGGGGTTGAGCTTATTGTTTTAAATTGGAAAGATGTGGAATATCCCTTCATAGTCACCCTCGTGCTGATATTTGCTGGTTTAAGCAAACTTGTTTTCCACTTCTCACATTTTCTGTCGTCGAAGGTACCAGAATCTTGGTGAGTCTTAAAATACTGATATTTTTTGTTCTTGTTATTTTGTTTTAATGTATAGGAATAATGGAATATTTAAACTTTTACGAATTTCAGATTCACATTTAAAGCATATTGGTTTATGTTCTAGAACAAAATATTATTTTTCAGTATACATCTTGGTCATCATAAATAACTTAGAACTTTATGAACATTTTTATGGAAAATGTACAGCGAATTGATCTACAGTGCGCAAATTTCAAATATTGATAAAAATAAAAAGTGGTATCTATTTGATTTTCTTATAAAATATTGCTTAAAAATTGTTATTGAAAAAAAGTTATATAGAATGGCCAAGTTATATGATGAAACATGATATTCTGTTTTCGAACATTTTACCTGCTGTATGTAGCATCGAATCATATTAATTAACACACATATACTTTTCTTTCATGTCTGATATAAAATACTGTCAAGGTACTTATTAGTTGTGCTACAGACCTTACATTATAGATCAGTTCACTTGAAGTAGGTTTGAAAGACACTTTAAGGATAAGGTTCCTTTTTTTATTCTCACTTATGTTTTTGGTTGAATTCCATATTTTGCTGTTGCAGTCAAAATCATTTTAGTATGATGCAAAATTTAATGTTAAAATGCAATTTGGTAATTTTTTATTCAGTACATAGACTGATTGAATCGAGCATGAAGCAAAATAAATTTTCTGAGTGATAGTTACGAATTGCATGTATAATGTATTTGTTTTATTCTACCCACTGTTTCAAAATTTGAAGAAAAAATAGTTACTTTGCCATTCTTTCTTATAATATATAAATACGACAATAAAATTGTGTTTTGTTCAATGAACTTGAAACTATTTAAATAATTATTATTGTTTTTATAACCAAAATATTGATTCTTTATTGCTTTTAAATCAACAGTGTTTTAGGTTTTTGTTGTTGTTGTTGTTTATGTTGTTTTAATATTAAGGGTTCTATTTAATAGTTAATATTAGATAATCTTGTTGGTTTACAGCGTTCTGATTGTACTTGGCGTCATTTCCGGACTAATTCTTTAGTAAGTATTTCAATCTCCTTATCTTTTTACATCTCTGATCTACTGCTAAACTTTTGATAACGATTTCTCTGTTTAGCCGTTTCAGTTTGGATATCTCAAAATCAAAAAAATTCTCTTTTGCAACACATTTCTTACTTCAATGACAAGTTTTCTAGTTTTCACAAATCTCTAAGTGAATTCGGATACAAAGTGGAAATGTTGCTTCATACTCTATCACACTTTTGTCCAATGCTTCAAGCTAGTCATGTAAAAATAAATGATGTGAAAGTTAACTGAAATATGTTATATACTAATCTTTAGGTAAAATGTTTTGTTTTTTAAGAAATTTATTGAAATCTATGAAATTCATATTGAATATGTCTAATTTGAATAAGAAGTTGCACAAACTTTTATTTGGAAACTGCACCCTCTTTTACTAGACAATTTAACTTGACCAGTAAGAGCGAATGCAGTTTCAGTAAAAATATACTAGATTTCAAAAAATTTCGGCAATAACAAAATTTTACCAAAACATGAGCATAATATTTCTTTATCAATGCACATTCTCCTGTAAAAAAATGGATAAAATCATTACTTTATATGTTATATGATATTTTTAAGTCTTTTTATTAATTTTTTATATCTTGCTTTGTATTATAGTTATACTGGTGTTACAAAAGACGTTAAGCTGTACGAACCTAACCTATTCTTTATGTACCTTTTACCTCCGTAAGTTTTGCATTTTCACCAAAAATTCAAATATTTCAAATTTCTTTTCATGTTTACTTTCAAAACAAACATTCATTTAAATTAACATAATTCTAATTTGGTAAGAAATACACTTAAAAAAAGCAAAGATTTTTTACACAATTAATGTTTTTACACCATGGTAAGGCAAAATTATTATGTAATAAAATCAACAAACATTTTACGGCAATTCAACTTGCACGTTTCTTTTTTTCTTTCAATGGCTTTGGATTTTAATACAAATATTCTTCATTATTTGTCCTGATTACTGTAATGTACGTATTTGAAGATTATCATGTTGTATTATACAATGCTAGTTTTAAACAATATTCATGACAAAAATACAATGAATAATTATGTAACAAATTTTAGCCTTTCAATATTTATAATTTTTCTTAGGCTTATTCATATTCAAAATTCACAAACTTTTATTCATATATTAACAAATTAGAATTTTAAGACTTTGAATAAATGCTATTCACATTAGTCTTTTTGTACAGTGACCATTATGAATGGTCATATAACACAATGGTAATATAATATGTCTGAGATCTTTGCTTGTAGAATTATCTTGGAAGCAGCATACAGTCTGTATGATCGTACGTTTGCGGAGAACATTGGTGGGGTTATCCTCTTTGCTGTACTGGTGAGGAACAAATGTATTTAGAAAACAGATATATCATTTAAAATATGCGCTTGTTTGATTGTTTAAAGCAACACTAGGGCATCAAAACCACTATACCTGCTGGAGAGAGATGCATAGACTGCAGTTATTCGGAGCCATTTAAACGATTCTAAGATCACGCAGGGATAAACGGTGACTGCAAATCTTATGCCTCTACCGTTAAGGGCAACCCCTCAGCCACGAGGGGCTTAAACATGCGTATTTTATACTAAGATTTAAGTTCCTGTATGACGATTTGCAATAGAGCGTGTATTTATCATGCATTTTTTCTTTTGGGTAATTGATCAATGGCATTAATATTGAATTTGGTTTGGTAACAATTGTACACTTAGGTCTTTAATTCTGTACAGAATAAGTTTCAAAAGAGGTATATAGAAATCTATATCTGGTATAAATACTGTTAAATGTTTAATTTTTACTACTGTGAACAATTTATTCATTTCATTGATATCTTCTTTCAGGGAACAGTTCTTAATTGTTTCTTAATTGGTAAGTATGCACTTAACTTATCAACTTGAATATCAAAATTATTTCTCCATTGCCTTGAACAAAATACTCGTACATCTGTACTAAGAATGGTAGATTATTCAATATGGTCTTGCAGTTATAGTTTGAGATATTAATGTTGCATAAAGTCAAATGATCTTTCCTATTCTGTACTATTTAAATACACACCCGATCTGTGCTGTGCCTTGTTGTCTGTCCTGCTTTTGTTTGGTGTCTTACTAGGCTCCTTGCCGATGGTCCTTCTGGTTTGTATGGTGGATGCGTTCCATGAACGCCACCTTCCTTGTTGATCTTGCTCTTTTTCAAATTTTGCGCTTTTAGATTTATTCTTAGCCTTTGCCTTGCTATTGTAGTTCAGACTGAGTTTATTATGTTCTAGGTTTAAGCATGTATGGACTATATATGGTAGGGGCAATGGAAGACGTGCACACTTCTTTTGTACAGATGCTCCTGTTTGCTGCCTTAATTGTTGCCGTTGACCCTGTAGCAGTACGTACTTGTTGACATTGACATTTTTCGTTAATTTATACTAAAAATTACACTTAATCTTGACACAGACAAAAGCAAAGATAATAAATTAAAGTGATAGAAAAAAAACTTATCTAAAATTTATGACCAGTTATATCCTGTTGCATGGGTTTAATGGTTATATATCGTTACAAATATTCAGTACGCATGGCTAACATTTTTTTTTTACATTTGTCATTTGTCATTTTTTTCTACAAAGCTAACATATTTTTTGGACTTATTGATAAATGATCAAATTATGTGTATCAAATTTGTCATTAATTAAAATGCCAATCAGTTAAGCAGTTAGTAAAAATGCAAATTATCGCGGTTTTTTTTATTTCTTAATAAAAACAATCAATATTTACAACAACCTTGTCTATTTTTTCTCTGTTTCTTCAGAAAGGTTTTTTTCTCTCTCATCTCACCATTTGATTTATTTCTTTTTTTCAATTTCAATTTTCTCTCACCATTTCAATATCAATCTATTTTTCATATAAAATCAAATATTTATATTTTATTTTATTCTAGGTATTAGCTGTGTTCCAAGAGGTCGGTGTTAACAACATGTTGTACTTCCTGGTTTTTGGTGAATCACTTCTCAACGGTGATTATTTATTAAATTCAATAAATTACTAAAGTTTGAACGAACTCAAATAAATTAAATGAATGAGAAGATTTCGCATGTTTAAATCGACAAGAAAGGTCCTTTCATAAGATGGGCTTTCACAAAACATGCTGATTACATAACATGATCTAAGCTTAACAAAACTTATTCTAGATTATGCTATAATAACAAAGTCTTCTAAAGGATTATTTGCATATGCATTTTCAACAAAACGCCAATGAATAACGATGACTTTAAAGAGAACTGAGAAAAAAATCTGGGTTCACGCGTGAATATATCACGCTATCATGAAGCTATCATGTGTGAATTATAGTCATGTATGTCAAGTAAGATGGAAAAAAAAATCGCAGACGCTTCTGCATTCACGTATTTGAAAAGTAAATACACAAGTATATAGTATATTTTAACTTTTCAAGGTAATTTTTTTTTGTCCACTGTTTGATAGCCCATGTTTAAAGCGATGAAAATATCTTCAAAATTATACACGCCCTAATTTCCCCTTTTTACCTTTTCAATCTTCTTATCTTTACTATTTTCTAAATACACTATGACTTATTTTTAACTACATAAAAAAATTTACTCTAAAACAAAAATAAAATACCATGTCATGTTTATTTGTATATAAAATAGTTGCATTGTATACTCATGTACTTGCAAAAAGTTTTGAGTTTGTAAAAGATATGATCAGTTCTCAAAAACATACAGACATCGTGGTTTTCATGGTGTATATATTTTATATATCTGCAGTTATTATCACTATGTTCTGTTCAAACACTTCCTTTTTCCATTTATTTATGGCTTTTAGTAGTTATATTCCTGCGCGCCTGAACTCGTTTATTTGCATTTTTAGTAGATGATTAAAATCTAATAAATCACTCCACTAAGGTTGTTTTATATGACGAGACTGGCAATAGTTTTTTTTCGAGATTAATGTTACATTACGTCTGGACAATTTATTTTATATACAAAGATTTAAGATCATTCCCTGACAATTTAATTGTGGAAACAAGAAAGGCAAAAGGCATATAGATGTTTTGAGTTCCGATCGGTCTTTTGAACATGATTTTCAATTTAATTCTGAGTATATTTCTTTTTAACTTTTGCATACCTGTTCTTGTTTCGATCGGAATGGTAAATTTCGTGCAAAATGATAAAATTCGGTTCTTATAATAAATTTCGATCCCAATAATAAGTTTCTGGTCTGTTTTATTTAGATTTAGTCAAAATTTAATCATAATATTTTATTCAAAAACCCGTCTCAGATAAGAAAATAATGATTGAATACATGAATACTGTATATATTTATATAGGATATTGTAGCTGTTATCTCGGCCAATTAGAAATAAAATATATATAGTATTTCACGTTTATAACCTCGATTTTTATTGGAAAATAATGATGTTTATATCATCTATATAAACCGCCAGTGCAAGGTTGTATTTTTTTATCAAACCAAATAAAACAATAGTGCAATATTATGAATTCGATATTAGGAATACGATATGTTATATGGTCGTGTTTTTTTTAAATATTAGTACCTAATCATTGTGACATTATTACCGGTCATTTTATTATATTATTTCTTGAAACAATAAGGTACTTTATGCACACAATTTAGAAATAAACTTTTCTTCTTCTTCTTCTTCTTCTTCTTCTTCTTTTATAAACGGCTGCTTGCCATATAATCCTTGCCTGTGTGCTCGTGGTATATAAGCTTACAAAAGTTAAATTTGGCCATATAATCTGTCAAAATTCATTTTGGCTTTAATAGTATTTATAAACTAGTTTGAAATATTTTTCTATTGTTTCAGATGGTGTGACTGTTGTACTTTATGACGTGATGCAAATATTTATAACAATGCCTGAAATAACAGTTGGTCAGGTAAAAATGCTTTTATTGCTTTGATTTTGTTTTTTTATACAAAAACAAAGGGTATTCGGGAATGATTTTATTATCTCTTGGTTATGAGAAAACCTTGTTTTGGTGTTGACATTATTCTTGATTTTATGCCATTTTTAGCCTAGTATATTCACTGTTTAATAGCCATTATGCCTCAGAAATGCTTTCATTTTTATTTCTCAAAAGCTTTATAATTTTGGTGTACTATAGTATTCTTAAGTTACTGATTGGCCAATTTTACTTGAATCCTGTTTTTCTTATGTTGCTTTCTTTGGAAAAAGGCTTTAAGTGCCTTTAAGATATCTTATTCAAATACCATTACTATTTTAAATGAAAAAAAAACAACAAACTGTTAACTAGAATCATACATTATTCTCTGAAACAGCAAACTTAATTTAATGTACGAAACTGTTATTATTTGAAATAGCTAACTTCATTTAATGAACACTACAATTATTATTTCAGATATTCCTAGGAATCGCCAAGTTTTTTGTTGTTGTGATATTTGGGGTGCTAATTGGTGTTGTATGTGGAATGATGTCATCATTTATTACAAAGTTTACAAACTCAGTGAAGGGTATGTATTTTCAGATACATCATGTATTGAAAATTGATTGGATGTCAAGAATTTAGATTATTAAAAAAGGTCAATAGTGTAAAGTGTTTTGTTTTATTTAGTTCATAAATAGACTAAAATATACATTATTTTATTATTGGTATTATTATTAAAGGTTTTTTGAAAACAAAAATTAAATAAAAAAATCTAATAAATAATTAGTTTTTAAAATAATTTAAAATATTTAATTACAATTGTTAACGTTTAAGTATACTCTTTAAGAGTATATGTATATACATGAATGAACATTTGGTAATTGTTTACATTCTTTCACACACAAAAAAAGTACCTTTGAAAAAAAAATCTCAACAATTTTAATTGATAAAAGTGCATTGAATTTTCCAGTATTTATCACCATATCTCTACTGCGTAATTAAGCAGTAGGGGCTATTTTTGCATATGTTGACTTTTTCTGGTATTTTCTTTATGTCATTTTTGGTGACGTATGTAATTTGTGAATTGTTTTCTTTGTTAACTTCAAAATAATAAAATTTTCATGAAAAGCATGAATTCTGAGGCAAGCCTTCTTATATGGCTTAGCTGATAGTTGAATGAGATTAAAATTTTATGTTTGCAGACTTTTGGACCTCACTGGAGGTGTTTCTTTTGTATTTTCGTATAAATAGAGTTGATTTATTTCAATATGTTCTCTGATGTTTTCAGTTGTTGAGCCCCTAATCGTATTCGGGTTTGCCTACATGTCATACGTGTTGTCTGATATGTTCGAGTTTTCTGGCATCATAAGTATTATAACTTGTGGAATTGTACAGGCCCATTACACGTTCCATAATGTCACCAAGAAATCAAGGCTTGCAATCAAATTTCTATCCAAAGTAATGGCGTAGGTATTTTATAGTTATTTGCTAGTGGAGTTGGATTGTTTATATTAGTAGGGCTGGAATGTCTACATAAAATGTTTGTATACATCAAAAGCTAGAACATTGTATGATTAATGGTTTTAATTATTTTAAGTTTGACAACTTTTATTCATTTAAGTTTTGGTACATGAAGATTTCTGTTCTTTTGTTTTCTAACACACTTGCGACAATAATTCAATTCATATACGTAAAGTCAACTACTCCGAATTTCTAAACATAGTAAACGAACAAAAACCACGAACAAGAACTAAAAAATGAAAGTGACACAGAGGAACGCTACCTTAAAGCAGAAAATGGCTAAAGTAACTATCGGGAGAAATACAAGGGACATTATGTTTATTTATATTTAACTAAACTCCAAAGGCTATACACGGTAAAAACTTCCTAGCGTTGCCAATGGTACTGTCGTGAGGTATGTCGACCAATTTTAACAGTTGATAACACTTTTGAATTAATAACACACTGTTTAAATGTCTCTAATGGACAAGACCTCACAATTACTTGTAATAATTGACTGTTTCCAATACATTCCAGGAATGCAAGTGAGATAATCGTTTTCCTGGACCTTGGAATTGTAACTATCAACCTTGACTATGACTGGAAGACAGGGTTTTCTCTTTGGGCTCTCCTCTTCTGTATTGTTTACAGATTTATAGGTATCTACACATTTTTATATAGGAGTGAATCTTTATATAGAAAACATAAAAATTGTAACAAAGCAAATCTAAGTTTAATAATGTTTTATTGCTCTTTGAATACAATTAAAGAACATTATTTTACATATAACAACAATTTTAACGAAGGACATAGGATTGAACAATATTAGCAACTGTCCGTCCCTTAAGTATTGTAAGATATAGAAACGAAAACATGTTTAAACAAGCAAATATAAGAAAAGTTTTTTTAAAAAAAACACTACACATAAATACATTAATTCATGGGCATTAAGTATGAAAACAAGATCAACAAGGAAGGACGGCGTTCAATGAACGCAACCCACATACGACCCAGCAACAGAAGACCACTGGCAAGGAGCCCAGCAGGACCCAAAATAAGTTCGTGATTTTGCCCATAAAAGACATTGTAATGTTTGAGAGCTATTGTGTGGAATACAAGGCATCCAACAGAAACGATTTAAAATATCACTTTTAATAATAAGCCTGTTCAATATGTCATTATCTTCATACATGTAATATGGATTATGTGCATGTAAAATACATTCTACTTACTTACTTACAGTGACCTACAGCCTGTCCGCTTGCCTCAATAAATTTTCAGCTGGAAGAGTTCGGAAAATAAGACTCGACGAAATGTTTATGATTGTAAGTGTGGTTCTTTTTGTAGTTGACTTTGCACACATCTTATACTTAATTAAACTATATGCACATATAATGTTAGATTCTGCTTAAGTCGGTGCTAGGGGGTGAACAGCAGACTGCGTTTACCACTATAGTCCGTTAACAGACTCATTCAAATCAAACAGGCAACATTTACAATCATTCTTTAGTCGTCCCATTTTATTTATATAACATGCATTTGACTATTTATACAAATCCATCATTGAGTTAGAAATGTTAGTAAATTTTAAAGAAATGTACGACGTACATAAATATACTCTGAAGGTTTTAGACTTAGTCATACATAAAATGTACATTTGTCAATTACTTTATAAGGAATTTTTACGTATTTTGGTAACACTAACTGGCGCCATATGACCTTAACTGTGTTTGAATGCCGTAAAACCAAACAACCAAACACTAACTGGTATCTTTAACGTTTGTAGAGTTATGGAGGACTAAGAGGGGCAGTTTGTTTCTCGCTGGTGGCTCTGATAGACGAGTCTCACGTTCCTATGAAGAACTTGTTTGTCACCACTACACTCTTCATAATATTCTTTACTGTATTTGTGCAGGTAAATTTATACATATAATTTATTGTGTATGTAATAAGCATTTTTTAAAGGAACTCCACTGAGGCCTAAAATCATAACATTTGAATTTCTTACATAGATCAGCTGTGGAATTTTAGATAGAAAGATGTTCCAAAAGATATTGTAGAAATATAATCAGAAATAAATTGAAAATCGCATTTTTGTGCTATACATATCTCGATTTGAGGTAGGGGCGTTTCCGTGGCCGAGTGGTTAAGGTCGTTGACTTCAAACCACTTGCTCTTCACCGCTGTGGGTTCGAATCCCGTCGGGACTTTGGATTCTGTCATGTGAGGAAGCTATCCAGCTAGCTTACGGAACGTCGGTGGTTCTACTCAGGTGCCCATTCGTGCCTGAAATAATGCACGGAAGGGCACCTGAGGTCTTCCTCAACCAGTAAAGCTGGAACGTCGCCAAATGACCTATACTGTGTCGGTGTGACGTAAAACGCAAAACAAACAAACAAATCTCGATTTGATTGAAAAGCGTTAGAACGCTTTTCAATTTTGGGTCATTTCTTACATCAAATAGAATATTTATCTGAAAAATAATTTCCATTCCCATCCCATCATGTCAAAAAAACTCAGTGGAGTCCCTTTAAATGTTTGTACTTTTCATGTAATTCGCTTGACAACAGTTTTAATCAATTTTGTCGATTTAGGAAAACGAAAATAATTTATCAATGTATAATTTATCAATGCATTACTTTTGTGAGGATGAATTACTGCGTACGCATACATATATTTGTCTGGTATTTAATTATTTGATTGATATGTTAAATATTTTGGTCATTTTGGAAAATAAACTGGTGTCATTTTCTCTTCATTTCAATTAAATTTTCAGAAAAATGAAACTTACATCAAATCTGTTTGTTTATATAAATCAACAATTAAACCTGACATGGTGATTATTAAACCAATATCTTTAAAATAAAAAAGAAAAAGAAAAAATCTTTAGAACATCACTATAGTCAGACGAAGAAAGACCACCAGTGTCCTTCCATGTATTACTTCGGGCACATAAGTAAAATAAAACATATCTTTATCTGTATAAAACTTTGTTTTAAAAATGACTGAATTTTGTAATGTATTGAATGGTGTTTGATATTTTTTATGTACAGGGTGGTACTATAAAATGGCTTGTGAAGAAACTACGTGTGAAACTTGCAGAAGGTGACCCGGAAATGAATCTCAATAGAGAGCTAGCATCCCATGTAAGAATCTTATATTTATGCATGTAAATGGTCGAACTAAGGGGCCATACACCGCTATTCATGAAATAGCAGAAAATGTGTCGTTATCACGTATATAATTACTTTTAAAACGTACATAGATTTTCAGTATATCAAAATACAACTATCGAGCTACCAGTCGTGCAATGTCTGAACGGATGTACAGGCCTGCCTAGCTCTGTACTTGTGGCAAAGGCTAATATTTCTTTCGGCTTTTCCAGGATAAGGACTATAAGTTGGTTGCTGAAAATGTGTTACGGTTTTGCTGAAACAACATATAATAGAATTGTTTATATAAGATAGCAAAGTGGTAAAATTAAGCACATTTAGGGTACCATAATTTTCTCCAGTCAACCAATCGGTTTCTCATTTAGGATTGGAAAAAAAGAAAGACGACAAATATGTTAATTAACAATGCATGTTTAAGTTTATTCATATTGACATTTTATTGAAATACAGAATGTCCAATGCATTCAAATAATATAATACTATTTACCGTATACATTAGACATTGGAATCTAATAGGTTTGGTCACATATATTGTATGAAGGAGTATAAACGGTTCTGAATATGGCTTCGTAGAATATTTTCAACACATATTTATTTGGCTTTCTTCCTAGGATGTATGTACAGAAGTTATCAGTTCCTTGCGAAAGTGAAGGCAACTTGTACAGGTAAAATGCTTTACAGCATGCCCAGGATGGCTAAACTGTGCTCTGGTAAATTCAATGAGCTTACTTCCGTCATTCGCAGTGAAAACTTCCGTGATCCAGAGTAAAAACTGCCACTGCCACCACCACTGGTCAGGTGTCTGTATTAACTATATTAATTTACAATAAAAACATTTTTATTACAGGTATTTGATTACATCCTAGCCGGTGTTGAACAAATTGTTGGTTATACAACAGGAGACCATCATATAAAAGTAATTAACCGTTTTCTTATTCTCATTATTCGTCTTATTCTCATCCATTTTCTTATTCTCATTAATTTTCTTATCCTCATCCGTTTATGATATTTTCCTCTGTTTAATACATGTATTTTTATTTTATGGAATATCGGGGAAAATCGACCAATTCAGAACAAAAATAACCGACGCAACGATTAAAACTTAAAAGTCCACCAAACTATCTTTTTACTGTTACCTTCATAGATTTATTAGTATGAGAACAAATCCCCTTTAATTCCAAAATGATAATTTTGTATGGGAAAGGGATGAACATTAAAATGCAAATAAGACTGAATAACATGAACTGTTGCTTTCTGTGGCTCCTTATTGCCGTCCGTTCTGTTCTGAACGGCGACATTGTCGATTTCTAGCCATATAACGCCTGTCATAAGCCAATCAAAATGGAATCAAAATTTAATACCGCATGATAACAAAATGGAGGACATTCTTACGAAGCTCGAAACCAGTGTGTAGGCTCCAAAGGGGTGAACAATTCACGGAAATTTCTCTTAAAAGAAAAGCATTAGCTTTATTGTTCAGGAAGGAGTCTATTACACGAAAAGAAAAATTGAGGACCCGGCTGAACGACAACTCGTAGGATGTTTTGAAAATTCGGGATCATGAGAAATGTACGGTTTACTGAGGAATCCGGATAAGTGGAGACCCGGTTTTGAGGGTTTCTGTTGTATATGCATACTTAAGCTGAATCTTGGCTTATGTATAACACTATGTAAGTATACCCATACATACTAACTGATTTAGATATTTATAATTGCAGAAGAAACTGGATAAACTGGATGATAAATTGATCAAACCAAAACTTCTTAAACATGCAACTAGAACAGAATTAAGTGATATATCAAGATGCTATGAGAAAGTTGTCATGAAGTGAGTATACATGCTTCATTATTACTCATCAAATATTTATTCTGTATTAACATTTGATGGTTAACTCACCTTTCACGAAAAAAATATTCATAAATAATTAAAAACTATTCTTGCATAAAAGTATACATAGGGACTGCGTTTCGAAGAAAGTCTTTTAATGTATCCTAAGTCATAGGACATAAAATCAACTTTAGGTCTAACATAAGACCGTTTCAATAAATGATTTTACATTAAGACTAAAATCAAATACAATGACAGACCATTTTATTTGCAATGTGTTATTGGTTATCTTTATTGCAATTCAAAATTTAAAACAGGAATCACTATTTAAGACGTTTTCTTTGATATGAAAATTGTATCAGTTTTGCAGACCTGGGACTTTCTATGAAACACAGATTTGGTAATTCCGCGTTTCGTGTAAAGAAACCGGTTTTGGCATGCTTTTCTCGTGCGAGTGCTATGTTATTTGACAGTTATTGTTTTGATAATGAAAAATACTTGGGTTGTCATTGCAATCAGCTATCGCTTATGGCGCCCTAAGTAATGTATATTAAAAATACGTGCTCGCATGATTTTTTTTCCGTAAATGGATGTTTTCTTCTCCGAAATGTATAGCTACATTACATGCAAGGTCATGTGTACATATTTGTTTACCATGGTTATTCATTACTATTAATAAACATTCGTTTCTAATCGTTTATTTTTACTACACTGTCTATGCTTATTAAAGCGCAACGCCCATAATTTTTTGGCCAACTTTTCATTCACATTCATTTGTACATCAATAGACTTATATTGTAGCAAATATTGAAAGTAGCAAATATTGAAATCGAAATCAACCTTCTTCTTAATCTTATTACTTTGAAAAGCTAATCCTTTCTTTTTTTAATAGCGCTTTACAAACTATATAAACATGTAACTTATTTAGCTTTAGATGACAAGATTACCTTTTTTACTTATAAAATAGGAAATAGGAGTCCGAACTCGTGTTAATATGTCTTTTTTTCTTTTTCTTTTTTTTCATTTGTGTTTTTCTTTTTGTGTGGGGTAGGGGTGTTGTTTTTTTGTTGTTGTTGGTAATTAACATTGATTTGTTGGTGTTTTTCATCTTTTCAGGGAGCATTATAAGAATTTGCATTGTTCTGGTGCCAAACTTCCAAAGGTCGATTCCGACATGCTGTAAGATTTCTTGGTTACTTGTAAAGTATTATTGTAGATAATAGAGATGTAATCGATATTGAATAAAGTATTATTGAAAGATTGTATATAATTTATCTATAGTTTAAAGGCACATTTAGTCTCAGAAATGAATACATTTTTCTTTCTGTACAAACCATGAATCGATAATATGTAAGATGCTTATCACTTGAAGAAAAATATCCTAAAATGTAAAGATTTTAATAATTTTTGTTAAAGCTATCAAATAGTAAAGAAAATAGTTTTTTGACTCCATTCAAAATACTTAATCATTATGATAACAATTTCGTTTAATTGTACGATTTGCCAAAATGCAAAAGATAGCCCAGCTTTATGTCTAAAGTGTTATGTTTGTTTTTTTTCTCAATCAATTTAATTAACTGCACGTGTGATCGGAAAATAACTTTTCTAAAAGTATATGTAACAACAAACGATATCTATATATATTTTTGTATACATGTATATAATAAGTATTGCTTTTAGCGAGTGGATAATATGACAATATAAAACAAAGGCCAATGTAAAAAGAAAGCCTTTAATTACAACATTTGAAACTTTCAGGCATAAACTGGAACATGTACTGAATCCGAACAGACAGAGTGACGACGATTTCTCCAGCAGTGGTACAGGAACCTGTGATAGCTACCGTACGTACTATTTATAGATTTACATATATTTTTCTATAATCACCTTATTCCTGATTTTAAAGAATTGGAGATTTGAGCAGAATGTCTTCAGAGCGGTACTATTTTTGTGAAAAATGAATATTTATTCTGTTGAGTAAAAGGAATATATATTTCTAGCTCTCTGATGAATATGAGTGCCTTGTCCGTTGTACTAGTTTTTCTGACTCCCTGGCATACATGTACTTCCTGTTGTGTAACTCTCTTAAATTACTGTAAAATACACCGGTTACTCGGTTACTTGTTACTTTTATCATTAGTACAGGTATTTGCAACAAATGTGTTTATTGTGTTCAACCATTTTTTTCCCAACTTATTATTTGCAGAGAGTTTAGTTTCTAGATTTGAAAAGCAGCTCGCTGAGGATAATCTTGCCTATGGTGATGACGTTCACAAGTTTTTCAAGTACACCCTGGAGAACGTTAAAGACGTAAGTATCTTTATTCAGCTTGTAGAAAATAAGGTATATAGACGTTTTACTACATGTATTTAAAATTAGTATAGGCCGTTTCCAGATTTTAGATTAGCAAAACCATGATAATAATAATATAGTGGCAATGTTATAGTTTTTAATATTTAGTGTGCAAATCAGTATCTTTTGCCTTTTTTATATATAGATATAATAAGTAGCATGTTACCGAATAGACTTGTTTGTATTTCGTCCACATAATGCAAGTTTAGTAAAAAATATACCAAAATTGAATTTATGGCGTTTGAAACAGTCATCAGGCGGAGTACCCGAGCCTTATTGCAACTATAGTGTGACCCCCTGCAGAGCGACCCTTTGTAGAGGAATTACCACTTTACAATTACAGGAACCTTTTATTTTTCAAACTAATGCTTCAAATACATTAGATTCATCCGGAGAAACACCTCTAAGCTAAACCAAAGTCATTATCCCCCGGCGGGTGTTGTGTTGCAAAGATTGTACTCCATGAGTGAGGGTGGTAGAGGGATGTGTCGAGAAAAGGCTCGTCCTAGGAAATTTCGTACACAGTACACAAAATAGTGCTGGGGCGGGTTGGGGTCGGGAAAAGGCTCGTCCTAGAAATTTTCGTATACCATGCATAAAACAGTGCAATTTTTGACGTATGAACCTTTTGATAATAATCATAATATACATTATTATGTAGAGGAGCTTAGCAAACTTTAGTATTTTAGTATTTAACTTTGCTTGTAGAATTTGCATGTTAAAATTCATGACAAAAATCTGGTGCACGATCACGACGAGCACACGATGACTCAATATCGTCGTCAACAAAGAAACAATGGTATCGCCGGCATGCGTCGGAGTCAGACATTTGATGTAGTAAGAGACTATTCTAGGCTACAACCAAGTCTTGAGAGGGTGTCTCCTAAAGACATTAAAGTACGAATAAATCAAGATAGTCAAGGCACAACTCCAAACAAGGTTGTCTTTCTTTTTAAACATGAAGAGTAATTTATAAGATATATATGTTCATGCTTACGTAACGTCGATGGTCGTACTCAGGTGTCCGTTCGTGCCTTAAGACAATGCACGGAGGGCACCTGCATGATGTCCTCCTCCGCCAATTAAGCGTGATAGTCGCCGTATGACGTCTACTGTGTTGGTGCGACGTAAACCTCAACTAAGAATATGTTCATGGTCTTTGATATTTTATATATATCTGCCGGAAAAGCAACTACACTAATGCAAATAACACTTGCTTAATGCTTAAATTGTTGTTAAAGGAAAATTGTTTTTCTATTGCACATTTTAATTTGTTTGTAACATTAATTAAGCATGACCACAACATTTTACTCCACTTAATTGATATAGAATTAAGTGTACATTGTATTTTCCAGAAAATATTGTCGACAGACGCCCATGTACACGATGAGCACGAGAGAGAGCGTGTAAATAAAGGCAGGACGATAAACGAGGAGGGCGTGGAAACTGAGACTGGAACTATAGTGTTCACATTATAATAATTTATGTTAAAATGACACTGGGAAAGCTGCAAAGAACTTTGGAAATACATGTATTGTTATAATATATGTCTCAAATGTACATTAATATATTGCTCACGTCAGAAGGAGAAAAGCACACGTGTCTTTCCGGAGAAGCTCGAAGTCCAGTGCTTACGAAAAACTTGAAGCTCGAAGTCCAGTGCTTACGAAAAACTTCTATATTTTTTTTAATCAATCTTGCTATTTTTAAAGGGATGCGCTCGTGATACCCCCATGAGCAATGTACAAGTGACAATCTTTTTATTGTCTTATTTATTCTATTGTGGTTATTCATTAGTGCTATTTTGAACTGTTAACAATGAACCTTCTGAATTTGGACAGTACCTTTACCAGCTTTGAATTTGGAACTTTCAGATCGAATTTTAAGATTTTTCAAAATTCAAATATTGAGTGACGACAATATGCAGTACGGTCATAGTTCTTTACAATCGCATCTTGTCGGCTCTTTCCGTCAAACTCGAGAAAGGAATAATCGCCGATGTGTTCCGATTGGGTTCTTTACTGGTGGCAAAGTTTAATAACTTCCGGTTTCGGGAGCAGTTTGAGCTTTAAAGGGACTCCACTGAGATTTTTTGACTTGGCGGATCTGGAAGAACTTTTTCTAGATTTGTGTACAATATGATGAAGGTCTTGACCAAAAAAATGTGTGTGCAAAATTTCAGATCATACGCTTTGACACCAAATCACACATTTTTTGCAATAATTTAATTTTTTTTTGTATATTTAAAATTTTAACTCACCGAAACAAAGTTCGGTTCAAATACTTTATGTCACACTACAAGAATTATTTATGGAAATAGAATCTGGTACTTCTTTAAGGCCCTGATTGGGGTATCCAAAACATGGTCTTTTACCTCCCAGCAGTAGATAAGATCTTACGTCAAAAATAGCAGGAAGATCAGCAGCAATCATTTATTTTTCATTTTATTTGTTTGATATATCTTTTGTTGATACTTCAATTGTTTTTCAAACTTGTTACCCAAGTCGGCGGTCTGTGAACAAGACAATTCTAACTACAATGTACCTTATTGTAATTTAGTAAAAAAAACGTTTAGGGACAGTTTGTGTGTACAAACGGTTTAATGTTATTTGTTACACACTAAAAGGTTTACTAACTTTAAAATTATCAACATATTATGTCCTGCTTATATAATTCTAGGTGATCTAGCTTGTTTCTTGAAAAACAAAGTTAAAACAAAAATATTTATCAATGGTCGGTGTTATCTATGCGTCGGAGTTATCTCCCCAACCAGTATATATTTCTTTATATCATATTTTGCTCATTGTTTTAGTTTAAAGTGTCCTGGTTGATGTTTTTTTTTTTTTTTAAAAAAAGGGTTTTAGACTTCTTCGCCTCGGCGGAGTTCCTTTAGCATGTTTATTTAAAAAGAAAAGAACAACAACAAAAACACAGGACCTGTGGCGTTGTGTTGTCTTTGTAAAGGACATGACAATAAAGAAAAAGGAAATAGAAGCATTGATATTATATGTGATGCGATGTTCCATGTAAAATTGTCTTAATTTTTATTGTGTAATTTTGATTATATTGTATTTTGCAAAGACAATGTGATAATGAAATACATAAAATTATTTCTTTTAGGAAATAATTATAAGCATGTAAAATTAAAAGATCCTACACAAAATGTGTAATGTTAGTGGTCATAATGAAGTACGTATATATACATCAAGAAACGCATTTTTTATCTAACTTATACATATATATGTGCTTTTAATTCTCTATACTTCGTCAAAACTAATACAATTAATCGTTTAAATATGGTTGGTATTTAATATAACAACAAGAGCACCGCTAGGCGGAGCATTATATACCCGAAAGTGATTTTTTTTAGTAAAGATGAAGCATTTGTAAGACTTTGGAATTAAATAAAGTAGTACCTCCTTCAAATAACAATCCTCCTATATGAATATTGTGGTCCAAATGGAACTTAAGTTATTCCCCGGAAACTCTTTTCAGTTTTAAGGTAATAGTGACCTTGACCTTGTGACCCCAACATCAATAGGGGTCTTCTACCTATCAAAAAACGAAGCGGGGAACCAATTTTTGTAGTGCGTTTTCGCTGTTTAATACTAACTGATCCCTTTCGGTGCAGACGTAAAAATCACCTCATGGAAAAGATCCGATCTAACATCTTGATACTCTGCCTTGAAAAAAGCTGTTACTAGCTCTATATATAACAACAACGAACATGTTCTCTCTTGCACAATGAGCAACTGTCATTTTTATTTTTTAAATCAACTCATTTTTGAAGATCTTTCAGAAAAAGTATGCATGTGGCATACTGTATGCGGCGGATTTTGAGATATTTTGCCTCAAACTTGGCCTTTTTACTATACGTTATATATTGGGGGAATATTTGGTAGTCATTAACCTCCACATGATCGGATTAGTTTTCGTAGTATCAGATTTGTGAACACCGGTCAGGGAGCGGTTATTATTTTAACATTTTTACCAGTTATTCCCCGTTGATTAAAAGGGCCAATTCTAGCGCTTTAAAATAACCTTATTAATTTTGAATTATACTTCGAAACTCTTAGTGTGCTATGCAAACTGCTGTTTCGAATACATGATACACAATGTCAGCATGGGACTAAAATTACCATGATGTTTGTAAAATAAATACTGAAACACTGTAAGAATAAAATGTGTGTCAAATTAATTTTAGAAAGCAAATTCAAATAAGGGAACAATATTTGAAAGCCAGCAAATTAAATATCTAATTATAGTTTGCATGTTTACAGCCTTAGAACTGAAGTGTAAATTGAATATTCGCATATTTCAATAAGAATTCGAGTTACGTCAGCAAGTACAACATCTTAATATTGCATAATGATTACAACGTATTAATAATAATGTCTTCATATTAATAATAATGTTTTCATAATAATAATAATGTCTTCCTATCAATAAGAATGTCTTCAAAATAATAAGAATGTCTTCATATTAATTACAATGTATTCATATTAATTAGAGTGGCGGATAATCCCTTCCATAAAACTGTCCTTTCTTTAAAGTTTTACGTGTACTGTAGGCCTACTTGAGAAGGGTTTTTTTTCTTTTATTCTTTAAGCAAGTGATGATATCTACCAGTTATAAACATAAAATAAGCTGTGTTTTATTTAGAAAACAAAACACTAATCCATTTATACGGTTATGATCTGTGAAATCTAATCCTTCTGTATCCAGAATATTCTTCGCAAAATATATGCACGACCGTGCAATACCATTTGTACGGAGTCGCAAAAGCGATAAACAATGATTATAATGAATTATAAAGATCAATGGGTATCACAGAAATAGATTAGCTGGTCAAACTTTGTTTCAATAGTGCTACCTAGCATGGTCTTTGTTGTTATTGTCGTTGTTACCATGGTTACAGTTGTTATTAATACTATGTCGAATAGCTTCATCGTAACTGGGAGGCGCATCGGAAAAGCCTGCAGAACTTGTTGCTTGTACTTCGTCGTAACTTGGAGGGCTTAATTGCAAGTGGAAGTTCGGATTTGTAAATGCATTAGTACTACCGTCTTCATTACCAGAAACAGTGAATATTCTTGATTCCCGTCTTTCCCTTTCTCTGTTACGTTTACGCGCAAATTTCAATATAACACACGTGAATAAAGAGCCAATAAGAAACGGTAACACACCGAATATTAGAATATACATATATACTCTTGGTTTGCACATGCTTATAACAGATATATCGGCCATCTCCTCATTGTCTGGCACGTAGTAAACAATGGTCTCCTTAGATTCAGGGGCTAAAGACACTGTGCATTCCCTAGAAGCTAAACACTTTATCGTTGACACATTTGGAAAAATGCCGTAGTACTTCCTTTGTAACATAAAGTCAACGTTGATATTAGTTAATTGCTCGTTGCTTAGTAACGAATTATAGAAAAGCAAGTAATATTGCGCTGATTCAGTTGCTGTAATTTCTATAACTGTTGGACTATACATGTCTGACGTACACTCATTCACAACACGGGAACCATCATAACTTTTCCTATCAGATCCGGCTATCCATTTGTCTAGTTTATCCTTTCCAACAATTTTATAAAGATATGCACGACCACATACATGTACACGAGCAGTCATTGTTGACCCCTTTAAAAGATAGAAACCCCAGTACTGGTATTCATCCAAATTATTCAAAGAAGTTGAAACTCTATGATATTTTACTTCGGATAACTTCTTTATTTTAGGCGTTTTAAAGAATTTTATTATATTTACAGGCGCGGAAGATTTAACCGTCACTGTTTCACAAAAGGATGCGGAGACCATGTCGATTTTTCTCATGTCTCCAGGAGACGCGGTCAGTTCGTTCCTATAGTGATACTTCGCAACTAGACCACCAGAAACGCATGCGCAAATTATTACGTAAAACCATGTCAATGTAATTCTGGTTCTCGTTTTCATCTTTGTAAGGCATAGTAAAAAGCAGACGATATAACATGGGGCACACAATGCTCTTCCGTCGTGTCCAGCTCCATCTCGCCGTCGGCTACCATGGTTACGCTGCCGAATACGCAAATCGATGTCGTCTTCACTGGAGAGCATTATCAATCTGAAATAATAAAAAAAACTAGAACTGTATCCAAAGGACACGGATGCCCCCACTGTGCAGATGTGCTCGTAAACAAGAGCATGCATATCTGTATGTAAGATTTTTATGTGGAACTTTTTCATTCCACTGTTTCATTTCTGTACATATACCTCAAATGATCTACAGGTAACCTTATGTACATGTAAATTAAATTGCAAATGTAAAATTTATATGTTCAATTATTTATATCGTATATAGTGAAAAAATCAACAAAGGGCCATAATTCTGTTAAATTTGGTCACAGCAAAATTCCTTCCTTTACTACCATCTACACATTAAAGCTGTTCATCCCTGGAAGTTAAGCAAAATCTGCCATCCGGTTTAAGAGGAGTTGCGTTCACAAAATTTCTATATTGTATATAGTGAAAAAATCAACAAAGGGCCATAATCTTTTAAATTTGGTCGCAGCGAAAATTCCTTCCTTTTCTACCATCTACACATTAAGGTTGTTCATCCCTGTAAGTTTAAGCAAAATCTGCCAACGAACTAACTAACTTACTACCTAACTAGTAAACGCCTTATTATGTCATAATAAGTAAAAAATTAACCGACAAATTGCTAAATGTGTGGCACTAAATTAAAACAAAGAAGAAAATAAATATTTCTTGAGACATATATCATAATGAATTTAAAAATTGTCATTTCTAGATTTTATAGCTTTTTATAACGGCAAAACAATAAATGTTGCATTTTAAACAGAATTATCACCGAAAACTATAATCATACAGTGTTGCTTAGGTAATAAATACTGTCATGGATGCAATTGTCACCGCCTCCTAACTACCACCAATGAATAATGAGATTGTACATGTATAAAAAAACAAGAAGTACCTTTATAAAGATATTTGGCCGAAGTAAAACAGGTTAACATGCAAAATTATATGTTATTTCTAAGTTTTAAATACAAAAAGAAATGTTAGCAATGTTTGCATAACAATATCATAATAACTATTTCTTGTAGCTAAGAAAAACCCATTTGTAAACATTGAAATTAAATTATAACATATTGATATTGATTATTTTTCAAAGTAGGACAACTTCTATTTAAGGTGTCCCTTTTACTTTTTTTAAGTTTGACTTTATAAATTTTGTTATCATGTACAAGTTAATCTAAAAGTTGAAGAACTATCCTCATTCCTGTACAATTTATTTTAGAACTATCCTTTACATTTTTTTACAGTGGCAAAACTATCACTTACATTTTATCTTAGAGCTATCCTTAATATTTCATTTTAGAATGGTTCGAACTATCATTTACATTTTATTTTAGAATGGTTAGAACTGTCCTTTACATTTTATTTAAGATTGACCAATGAGATTCACCGTTTTCAGATTATGATTTTTAAATTACCAATGAAATTTTTTCTTATATTCAGCCCTTCCCTTTTAATTTTACAGGAAGTCAAACTTATGACAGACGGACTTTGTCCGAAAAAGGCAGCATGACACTTCTTCACCGCTGATGAAGATATGAACACAGGACCAGCAAGTGCTCTAATATTCTGGCCCATATGGTTAATTCCTGTCGCAAGTTTAAAATAGAAACATGCTGGATCAATATACATTAACCTGCCAAACTCTATAAACTTTGCACTATAGACTACAAGTATATTTATCTGAAAGCCTGGTGAATGAGTCGTGTGTAAGAAATATTATCTAAAATGTTAAACATTAATAACCCTTACTTCATCAAATATCTTAAACAGTCTGTTTATCTTTTAATCTAGGCAAAACCATTAATCAATTTTAGGAGAAAAAAATTAAAATAATTAATTGAATAGCGAAGAGTGCAGACCATGTTCAAACTGGACGGACAAGTCGGCTGACCATGATCTGCGCTGGTCGCATGCCGACAATAGACTTAAATTTAAGGAAATTAAATGTAAGTAAATTGATCGATATAATTGTATAATACCTTTTTGTTTAATATTCCTCATTTGTAAACATTTTTTTCTTCTAAATAACTATTACTATTCCAATATTTTCAAATGAGATCGTAACAAAATTATATTGAAGTAGGTCACATTCAAAGTTAGTGTTCGTCGAGTGTCAACAATCCACACATTTTTATCAGTAGCGTCGTGATAACACAAGGGCGATCAAAGTATTTCAATTCATATCAGGACCAAAAAAAATCATAAGGACTCGTGCATCTGCAAGTAGATACTTTATGTATAGGTCCGTGTTGATGAAATTAATATTAACGTGATAGTTGTTGCAGATTTTTAAAAAAAACTACACGTACCTACAGAATTTAAAATGGAACTGTCCTATTAGTCAAAATATAATTTCAACCACTTAAGACGAACAATGTAGTATATATATATAGTTTATTTAAAGCAGCATTAAATAAATTTTATAAAAGATAGAAATAGTAACATTCCTTAAATAAAAGGCGTTTCTTAGCGACATATTTTGTTGTTCAGATGATGAAACTATATTTTATTCTCATCCAGTACATGTACCTTTTATACAAATACACATTCAATAAAACTTAAAATACATGTAAATGGTCATGCTTATAAAGACTTTTAGGACAAAAATATAACTTACCCTGCTAGATTATTAACTCCGTAAACATCGTTGTTGTGTGTCAATTGAATATTTCTTAGTGGCACATTAAGTTTAAATCATATCAAGTTCGGTTTATAGCATTAAATGACATCATCTTATTTATTTCAATATTTGTGATATAACAATTGCAAATTTATATTTATACTAAACGTGTTAAACAAGGGTCTTTCAAATCTGAAAGACCTTGCTTAAACTATACTGATCAACGGAAAAAACTGCTGCAAGGCGTTTTGGAAAAACTGTATCTTTTACCAAAAATAAGATAATCTACATTATACATGTGTATATATATATAGTCAAAAAATATATATTCTAACAAACTTTGGTAATTTAAAGACACTATACAAGAATGACTTAAACAAACTATTTCATTAAAGGGCAAATATACAGATGGCAAGACGTGGATGCCGTTTGAACATTAGAAAGTGGGGTGTAAACCCGTGCTTTAATGAAGAAATACGCTGTTTTACAAATCATAACAATCTACTTTAAGATAAACACATTTTGAACGTTCTTCATGGGATGAACTGTATATATGTATCACATGTAATATCATATTTATCTACATCCGTGATGTCACTATAGTGTATACCTGTCACCAACTGTATTTACATGAAATATATCAATAATAGTTATCACCAGATGACGTTTGAAATAGGACAATTTTGAAATAATGTTATCATATACATTATTTAACTTAAATGATTATATAAACACACAAAATAGTCAAACAGTAATACATATATTGCTGAACGTTGGAAATGACTACATTGTAAATAATTATGAATAATGAATAGTTAACGCGTCGAAGTCTGTTCCCTACCTACTATTCTGTGAGTGTTAAATAACGTAGAAACAGGGGCAGGTAATCCAGAATAGGAACGAATTTGAGAATGCGACTAAAATACATTTCGTAAAATTGAACTATGAATAATTTCCGGTAATCTGCCCATTAAATACATGTAATATTCAAAAGGCATGGTGTTATTGTGTATTATAAAGGTGCATAGATCTACTTAAAAATGCAATTGTCTATATTTTTACATAAAAATGAGAACATCCAAGCTTTAGGGCCTTAAAGTCTAGTTAATCTTTTAAGAAAATCTATGTACATTTTAAATGCATTTTCCCGTACTGTACACAATTTAAAATTCTCGTTTCTGCTGATCATGTCTGAAAAAAAGCTTTCTGTACTTAAAGGTTGTGGGGTTATTAAACAATTAATTAAAATGATATAAAATGGTACATGCATTTTTCTCATAGATATTTAAAGTTTCACTTCTTTGGCTGTTGAAATTCAATTTATATTTGCCAAATGTGTACAGTATCGTTACAATAATTTTGATGAACACGAGAAGTAGAAGAAGTAGTTGGGTCTATGTAGTGTAAAATAACTTTTTTATTTCCTTTAATTGTTAAAAAAAGTCATGAAGTCATTTTCAAGTACACGTATATTTCCTCGCGTGTAATTTATCAATAAAACCTTTTCGTTTAGAAAGAATATTTCGTTTTAATACTATTTTTCGCATATTAAGTAACAGGTACGTCTCGGAGATCCTCGTTAACTTACGAGGTTACCAAAGTTGTTTACCTTGGATGCTTAAGACGCTGATTTTGTTTTCTGCCGGTTTTAACTTTTGAAATTGATGTCTTGAGTGAGTGAAATGTTTATACAATTATATAAACTCCATGTAGATTTTTTACTATGTAATGTACACGATAAAACGAGAGTCTATCAACATTTTCTAACACTAGATAGCAAAATTTTACCAAAAAACATGCCGAACTAGACATTTCACATCGGTCATAATATTGTTATCGGAATGTAGACTCCACCTATGAACAACGGTTTTGACCATATTTTTTTTACATTCTTTATTATTATGTTATAGGGTGCCTATGTTATACAATGGTACCGTTCCTAAAGACGCCTTGAATCTAAATCAGAAATGCTATCATTACATCTTGAAATAAATCAATCACTGAACACAAATATACTATTTCAATAAACAGGGTTTGACCCTTGAAATGACTCTTTGACCCTTCAAATTTCCAAAAGGCCTGATTTGACCGTCATGGTTTCAATTGGAGGGTTAAATTTTGTTAAAATCATGGGGATTTTGCCTTGTAGTCGGTAAAACTTAGTCAAAATGACCCTCAGGATTTCCTGGCTGCTGAACACCTAGTCCAAATTTTTAGACGTAACCGCAGATTTGAAGCTACTTTTTACATGGGTCAAATCCGCTTTAACATCTTAATATATCTATTTAAAAGTCCATAGCAAAATGAAAAACAATAAACATGCACAATCATTCAAACTTCCCATGTAAAATGTTACAAATAATCATAATCCTACCACAAATGTGTATTTTCCTTCTGAAAAACAACTTTTTCAAATTTTAAACAAATCCCGTGTAAAAATCGTGTAAACAGCCTCCATATTCATTATTGGTGTCTACTACGCAATGCGGTGATTACTGGAACAAATTTTTTAGACAAAATTTTTACTGTGAGCACTGTCAGCGTCTTAAATCACACCAGAAATTTTTTTTGTTCAGACTAATTTCCTACTATTGTTTTTTGAGTGACGTCACAGCATGACCGGGAATTTCCAATATGGGGGCAACACAAAATGTCTTTTATGTGTCTTCTTAAATATATGGATAAATAAACTACTTATCGTGAGTAATTTTTGCATATTTTTACAGTTTTTTTTTGGAAAATATGCTTCCGTCTTTTATGCAATCAATTGCTTTTTTTTGATAAATAGCATTTAAGTTGTGATTTACCGGTAAATTCAAATCGACTCGTGAAGCGTGTCGATTTGTGCTATGGGAAATTAGCCAGTTATGGAAAGACTTCACATTTTCCTGTAAAAAAAGAAAATGCAAGGTCTTTCAATGAAGGACTACTGAACACCCTGATGAAACTTAAAATTCCAGGATAAAAACATTGTTGTAGACCCATTCATCATTAGAATTGCCATGTGCATACTGGCTATGCTTAACACAAAGTATTTAGCTGAATGACCTGGCTCCCATAATTACTTACAAACTTGATGCTTGTATAATAATAAATATAAGTCAAATTTAATCTGTTAATTAGATTTTTCATATGTTTAAATTTTTCACAATTTTACAGATCAAGGATGAACACATCCACAGGTCCATTATTTAATCTGTCAACGAAGAAAGAAGATGTCTCGACCAGACTTAAAACACAGTAAGTTCTTGACCTTCCTTTATTCTTGATTTCATACCCTTAGGCTTGATTTGATAATTATACTTATCCTATAATATACATGTATGTATTATAGTCATACCAAGTGAATGTTAATGATGATGAATAATGATGGAATGCTAGATGAAATTTTTGGCATGGTTAAAACTAAATTTGTATGTACGATACAGCAATTTCTCTTTACCAACCTTGAACTTCAACTTGAAATTTTCAAGCATCTCCTAAAATTTATGCATGTATTTGTAATTTCAAGTGAATAGTTTTACATAAAATCTATCCGTTGAAAGGGTCAAAGATTCATGTTTCAAAACTTATTTAAAAAAAAAATAATTCATGAAAAAATGCAAACTTTGATTATATATCATTTTGTTCATTCTACTTAAAATTAAGTTTTTAATTTCAAGATTTACATGAAAGATACACAAAAAATGCAAAACCCGATAAATTGTATTTGTTTCACATAATAAAAATGCTGTTACAATTTTAAATGAAATTTTAGTGAATTAAAAAAACACTCACTATTTTTAAAAAAATAATCCTTTCTTACTTTTTATTATACATGTATAAAATGATTTTAGGAATTTTGTAGCGTGAGTAAGCACATAATTATGATCATAAAATAAAAGTAAAAATATACACTATGTTGATAGCAATATTTCACCAGTCTATTTTACTGCCCCATGCATGCCATTTTCCATTTATTTCAATTTATTTGTAAACACATATACATGTTGATGTATACATAATAAGTTCGGGTTTGCACATGGTTGAAATATCTTGTAACATATCTTTTGATAAAGCTTCACTCTTTTTACAGAGTTTGGTAAAATGATGTCATTATCTATTTATCTAGTACATTCTACTGAAATACAAGAGTTCATAAAATGATACACATAATATTAAAAAGTATTTTGATACTAATTTGTTTATATTTTGCTACTTTTATGACTAATATAATTTCACATTTGGCGCTTCTTCAGTTAATAAGCATCTTACATGCTCAAAAACTGAGCATTGAAAAGTGATAAAACTCATGTTTGCTATTTATAAAAGAAGGGAAAAAAATATTTTTCTGAGGCATGACATGCCTTTAAGCAATTATAACCTAGAAAGAAGATATTAAGCATCTTGTCTAAGAGTGATTTTTGAACCAGTTAATGATAATCATAAAGTATTGTTACAAGGCAAACATATTATTTACAGTTAAGTCTTCAGTCCTAAATTCTATTTTCTTTAGACACTAGATATACACATATAAAGTAAGTTAAGTGAGCATGACATATATGTAACTTTCTGCCTTTTAATGATTTTTACAAACTTATTTTTAAAAAATTGTATATCAATATTTTGGATCCACTTTTTTGAATATACATATTTGTAAAATATTCACCTTTATTTTAGTTTTGCATGCGTTAAAAAAAAATATTTCAAAGCCTCGCAGCCTCATTATGTTGCGACATTCAGTATTGTTATACACTACTGTATTCCACATTTTTACTTTGTTTGCAATAACAGTACTCTGAATATTTTGCATTAAATGTTTTGTAAAAATTAAAACAGTTTAATTATTAATTAAGATGTATTATTCATCAAATAAACATTATTGTGAATGTCTCTTATTGAAATTGAATTTGCATCATATTTAACAATGCAATGCCATAAAAATTTGATTTGTTAGTCAAAATCGTGTTTTGAAATTGTATTGAATAAGGTAAAGTTCTTCCCATTGTTGTCATAATGCCACTAGATTTGGCACAGTTTTGTGTAAAATTAAGTCTGTTATATATATTTCAAAATTTTGATAGCTAGAACTTTAATTATAATAAGTTCGGGTTAGCACATGATTGAAATTTACTAGAATAAAACTGAGGCTTATTAATAAACAGATTTCATGATCTTAATCAAATTGAAGTAATTTCCCATTCATTATTATGTAACTTGGCTGCATAGTTTTTGTAATTATAAGAATTGGATACAGTGTACCTAATTTTGTTTAATCAACACCATTTTTTAAATGATTTCGGATTTTTTCTGAACAGAAATTTAAAAAGAGCGAAACATGAGACGAAGAAGTTGGAGGAAGAAGGGAGGAAGATGGAAGAGCGACTTATTGAGCTTAAGATGGCTATGAATAGAGAAAAGGAAGAAAGAGAGTAAGTTTTAACCCTCTATCTGCTGAATATCTTAAATGGATCTGCTCAGCTTCAATATTTAAAGCCCAGGATTTCATAGAATTGCCTGGTTTTATAGATGGGTTATTACAAGAATAGGCTAGAAATGGAAGAAATCAGGTAGTTAATCATATATTTTTATTAGCTCGACTATTCCGAGAACAGGGTCCAGTGTTATTGTACTTAACCATGCATGGATGTCTGAATAGGCTCACACTTTGTTATGTTTTTGTGTGCAAGTTGGTATCTCCAAGACTTTTATAGAGAATGGGTTGAAAATTCACACATTTTTTGAAAACATAAAAGGAGGTCATTGTCCATTAACATAGATTTTAGTAGAATTATGGCAATTTTTTAACTTAAAAAATTCTATATTACACAGACTTTTGTTTTACTATCAAGCACTTGGAATAGTCAAGCACATTTACCTACAGATAGGTCTTGTTTATATTTGTGTTTTAATGTTACAGAAGACAAGGCGGCGGTTTCTGGAAGAAAGGTCAAACAGGTACACTTAATAACTATGCTGAAGAAGTGCTGTCCAAGAAAAAGAACAAAAGTGTAAGAGTATTGATATATAGTGTCAAACTCTTTTTTAAAAGCTTTTCGTCTATTTGTGACAATAATGTACATGTATATTGCATATAATTTTGTACTGATGATGCACATATTACAAATTCAAAATAAAATTCTGCGAAATTCTGCTTAAATTATGAAAATATGCACACTTTCAGATTTATTTTTAATATTTTCAAAACGAAATATTTTTACTGACTGGCTAAAATTGACAAAAATATTCTTTTTTGTTTTGATGGAATTACACTGTTTAGAATATTATTATTAAAAAAGGTCTGAAAACTTAAAATGGGCAGCAAACAGCATAGAGTCTTGTCTGATACCAAATGTGCACCAGGCAACATTGAAAAGTTATTTCCCTGTACCCAGTAAATGTTGAAATAGTTGACTTGATTTTCCTAAAAATTTAATAGCATTGGATTTTATTTTCCATTCTTATTATTGGATTTTATTTTCCATTCATTGTTATTATTGGATTTTATTTTCCATTCTCATTATTGAATTTTATTTTCCATTGTAATTATTAGAATGCTTATAACACTATAGTGTTTAGTTAAATTGCATAGATATGCATTGCCTTGTTCATATTTCTTTAAGCTTTTTAAGAGTTAATTTGCTTTACCAAAAATTGACCGTTGAAAATTTTAATTTTCAGGCTTCATCTAAAGGCAAGGTGAAAATATTGCGAGACAAACCATTAGGTGAGTTAATGATGTCATTATTGATATTAACATAAATGTCATTATACTGTACATGTTTATGTATATGTATTTTGTTTTATTAAGTTTTTTTTTATATTTTTCGTGATTTTATCATTTTAGTAACATAATAAATGTATGTCACAGTCTTGTTATGATAAGAATTATAAGGATAACTTATGTAGCTATAAAAATACCCTGGCTAAACCAATGATATCTAGGCAATGGATACATAGCAATAATAAATAATTGAAAGATTTTTAGTGCTTCAAATTGTTGTTAGTTGAAAATTTCCTAATAAAGTATCTAGTAATAAATTTTCAATATTTTTAACATTTTTCTTTGCTGAAAATACGTCATCTAAAAATTGTTACATAGTATTACAAATAAATGTGGTTATGTTGCCCAGTTCTTAACATAAAAGACTAGTTATTTATGGGTGGCAGGCTGCATGGGTTCAAACCCAGTCAGGGGCAAGCAGACTTGTTTCCACAAGCAAGAAACTTTACACTCATAGCTTTGAACTGGTTTGTTCCAGGAACAGGTTGCAGAGTGTGACTATAACCTCATAACTTCCTACACAATGAAACTTAAATAAGTTCTGTATATAGTAAATATATACGTGTTAATGGTCAGTGACTGCACCACTTAACCCCCACCACTGTGCCAGAGATATGGTATATTCCTCCATGTTATGAAGCTATTTGGCTAACCTATGGAAGGTAGGTGGTTCTACTCAAGTGACCACATGTGCCTGAAATAATGTCCAGTATAACACATGATGTCTTCCTGTACTAGTAAAGCTGGAAAGTTGTCTTATTTTCTGACAATTGTTGGTGTATTTATAAACCTAAACAAATAATGTTTATATATTTCAGAATTACCAGAGAGAAGTAACCAGCCCGGTACAATGGCTTACATTGCCCAGAAAGGGGCACATACACCTAGAGATAAACCTAAAGGTCCTAAATGTGGCCAATGTGAGGAAAGAACTGCAGCCGTGGTTAGTATTCAAAATTTGTTGTCAGTACATGTACATTTGTTGTTGCCCAAAAACGGCAAGTAAATACACTGGTCATGCTTTTAAATTAATTTTGTATTAAGGGCACTGATAATATTTTAAATGTGATTGTCTGTTTGAATGAAAGGTTTTCATGTGGAAACAGAATAATTTGCTTGTGAAGTCATTAACAGTGTGCTTCACATATATAAGTCAATGAGATGAGGAGACGACAAAGTTATGTGTATGTCAGCACTAGGACAGAATTGCTGTCGTTTAACTGAATCTGGTTGCGTTGAAAATACCGGAAATATACTGGAAATACATGTGGAGAATCTTCTGAATTGTAGTCAGGACTTTTGGTGGTTGGGTTATCAAGTCAATAATCCAACATAATTATATATCAGTTTTGTTGTCATGATTGATATATGATTTACAATAAGAAACAATAAAGGAATAAATGTTTTATGTTTTTATTGCACTGGGCAGGTACAAATGGAGTTGATTAAGTTAAGGGGGATAACTTTTACCCAATTTTACAAGATTTTTACAGAAGGGAGACTACTTTTACTTACAATATATATGTAACTTATTTCAGTCATGTGTCCAATGTTCAGAGGATTATTGTGCTGGATGTTTTGCTGCCTTCCATCTGAAAGGAAATCTCAAGAAGCATAGATCTGTACCTCTTACTGTATGTTATCTTAACCCATGTTTTATGAACTTGTATTATTAACTGATCCTGCTTTGATGTTTATTTTTAGAAATTTCAACTGTATTGCAGACATCAAAGTATTGAAATTGAGCAGTTAACAATATAGAGTCATTCTTGTCAATAGTGAACATATTTGCAGAAAATGCGAAGTGAAATAGGTTTATAATAACTACTGGTAGCATTGAAAGTGGTTTCAATTATCAGTTCATTCAAGATTAATATTAAGTATCTTTCCAATAATGAAAATCCTACGGTCAGAAAAAAAAACTAATAGAAATCAATAAATTTGAGTGAAAAAGATGTGCTCAATAATAACCTCTTTTTTGAGGTAAAAAATGCTGTATAAATTATATTTATGGTATTTTAATTAAACCCTTACAAGTTAGTGGAGCAATGATGTTAGTGTTTTTCTACATTACAGGCGACACCAAGACAGTGCTTTGCCTCTCCTAGAGTTTCTCAAAGTTATAGCCAGTAAGTATTTTGTTTTGTTATGATTTCATGTTTTTGTTATCCAAGCCTTTTTCCATAAATTTGTATTCTGTTATCATGATTTCAGTAACATTTTGCATCTTTAAGTCAGTCTCACACAGTTATACTCACTCAGTAAATGTTACTATTGTTAAATTAATACTTTACTTTAATTGTAGGGAATCAAAATGTAAGCTCAACTTTTGCTTTTAACATCAAAGCTTTTTAACTATTTAATTGTTTCCAATTGTTTTTTTCTACTTTTTTACATATAGTCTGATATTGTTTTTTATTATTTCAGTTCTTACGACTTTGATCATGGAGACGGGGATGGTGCCACTGAATTATATGTACCAGAAAGTGCTAGAAAGGTAGGGTCGATTTTATAGAGAAAATTTATATTGCACAAGTTTTGAAGGCATAAGACAAATCTCAATTTTGTTGTTGATATGGATTCACGAAATACTAAATTTATTTATAATCAGGAATACAATGTCCATAGGGATTGTAATAAAAATTTAAATTCTGAACATATCTTGATGACTGCAGGAGGTGTTAACATAGCACTTTTATATGTGGATAGATCTCATTTAAGAAAAGTGCAGTGTCAAAGAGCAAAAGTGTTCTTCTGCTTCTTTGAGTGCCTTCCCTTGGTAAATTTTATTTTTGCACAATGCTTGAGTTATTGTCCTTTGTAAATTTTACTTCTGCATCTTTGCGTGACTTCCCTTGGTTATTTTTTCTTCTGCGTCATGTCTGAATTACTGCCCTTGGTAATTTTTACTTCTGCATAACACTTGAGTAACTACCTCGGTAATTTTACTTTCTGTATGTTTGAGTGACTTCTCCTTGAAATTTTTAATCGTGCATAATATTTGGATTACTGTCCTTGATCATTTCTACTTCTGCATGTTTGAGTTACTGCCCTTGACAATGTTTATTTTTTAAAATCCTACCAACAAAGTTGCATGTGAGAGATCTTGGCTATGCCAGTGGCAAGACTACATGTGAATCTTTATTATATCATTACAGAAGGATAGAAATAGTCCTGAGGGTGCTAGTGGTAATTATGAGAACAGTTTGTTACAAGGGTCGTACAATGAAGCAGAACAGGCCGCGTCCTTCCAGGATGCTCTCATTGCATGGAGGACTGGGGGCAAACCAGCTGACCATAACTCAAACAGTGGAGGTAGTAGACCATCCACAGACAGGTCCAGCAAACGTGGTGGGGTACCATATTCTCCTGTACAAACTCCAAGTAAGTTTGATTTGTTAAATTATTTATACATTAATAAACATAGCCTTTTAAACTTGATGTTTGTTAGTAGGACCTCAATGGCTTATTGGGTAAAGTTCCTGAAATTAAATCACTGACTCTCACTGCTGTTAGTTTGAATCCCACCCAAGACTTTGAAGTCTGTCATGTGAGGAAGCTATCCAGCTAGCCTACAGCATGTCATTTGTTTCAAAATTAGTTCATGAAGGCTGTTTCAGGTCTTCTTTTACAAAGTAAGGCTTGAAAATCCTGGTATCATATGTGACAGTGGGCCCAATAAAAAAAAAATAATAATGATAAGTAATTAGTGTTAAAAAAAAGACGAAATGTTTGTTACATCATTGAAATGAAATGAAACGAACCAATATATTGAAAAGACCAGTTTTTAATAAAAATTCAAGTATAAAATGAATTTGTTGTTGCAATAAACATATAAAATTTAATCAGAAGCGATATAAAAGCTGATGTGTTCAATGGCTGGCAAATAACTTCATTTTCTAGTGTAGTAGATATACTTTTAATAATTTAATCAAAGATTTCAATTTAATTTTGAAATTCTATTTTGAAGTAGTATTTAAAGGTGTACTGTACATTTTATAATGAATTTACAAAATGTGATTTTGTTTTTCTCATTTCAGCTGTTAATGTAGACACCTCCACCGGTACTGCTGACTCTTCACAAGAAGTGGAGATTAAATTTAACACAGCCTCAATGACATATGCTGAGAGACTTATGCTGAAGAAGCACAGACGGACAGACGTTGACAGAATTTTCACACCCAGGGAGAATGGGGATGTGAATGCCAGCCCTACACCACGAAGAACACCAAGAGAAAGGCCACCATCTTACAAACCTCAACGTGAATTATCCAATATCTCGTTGAAAATTGTAGACTTTAGTGATGGGGATTTTGGTAAAAAAATTTTTTTTATCAACAATGTATATCTATTTGAGATCAGAATGAATCATCCCATTTCCAATTAAAGTGGAATGCCTCCATATGAGCCAAAAAAATTCAAGAAAATCAATATTGAGAAAAATGTACTAAAATTTAAAGAAGGTAAAAGCATTCAAGATCCAAGTTATATTTTCCATGTAATGTGCCGTTTAAAACTGATTTTTTTACCATATTTCTACTGCGTTACCAAAGCAGTAATGGCTATTTTTGCATATGTAGACAACCTTTTGGTAATTTTCTTGGACTGTAAGTGCCGATTGCAATGCGTAAATTACTTAATTTGTTCAATTGTACAATATTTTACTTTAAATTACATTACCAAAATGTTCATGAAAATAAACATCAATCTGGCGTGCTGCCCCAAGCTTTTCACAGAAGGTGCACAATTACTTCACTGATTTCTTTGACTAGTTCAGAATCTTCCACCACAATGAAGATTGGGAATATTTTTTTGACTCCATTAGAATGGACTTTTCTCAAAAGTTTTATCAGAATCAACACAAACTATAATTTGTGATTAGACATGTAGTTATTTTATAAATTGATTTTACTTGTTATTTTTCTCACTTTACTAGATGCTGAGGAAAGAGTAGATTTTGGTTCCCTGCTTGAAGTTGTTAGGATGGTAGATGGGGAGCCAGTTCATCACAAGGATCCAGATACAATATCTATAGTGGAAGTTCAAGATTCTATAGTAAGTTTATGAAAGGAAATATACTGAGATCCAAAAGCCTAAAATCATGATATTTGAATTTCTTACATACATGTAGATCAGCTGGGGCACATTAAAACAGAAAGATATGCAGAAGATAATTAAGAAAAACACTCGGAAATAAATTGAAAATCATAATTTTCTGCTATTCTTAACCCAAATTTAGAGAAAAATGTTTCACACACTATTCAGTTTTTGGTCATTTTTCACAATTTGAAAAATTATTCTGAATAAACAGAAAGATAACCAAAAATTGGTATACATTATATTATATAAGGATGCCATTTTAAAAGAGCAAATAATTCCTCAAATAATTTTTTGCAGGTTGTGCCCCTTTACAGCTTAGATTTTTTGCCCGTTTTAACCTTTTTGTTGCTTTCAACATATCTACTTTTAAGTTCCATTCTAATTGATTTGTTCAAACTTGGTATACATGCTTACTTTCAAAATATGACACTTCTTCACAAGAACAGATAATCCTAAAAAAAAGTTTTTTTCAAAGTTTTGCCCCTTTTTTTTTTACATAATTTGTTTTAACTAAGGTCAATTTCTCAAAGACTGTCAAAATAGACAATTTAGCAATAATTCTCAACTGTACTATGAGAAGCAACAAAGAACTGACATGCATTACAACATTTGTATTCAATCATAATATAAACTCCCAATTGTTTTACAGGTTGATAAGAGTATAGAGCAGGCTGTGGCTTATAAGGTTCAGGAAGATGGTGAGGAGGAGGCTTGGTCTTCCGAGGCTCGGTATGTGTACTTTATACTACCTGCTAGCATCTAGGTTTTCCCTCTGATAAATACCTTATGAAAAGTCTTACGACAGTATTCAACTTCTCTGTCATCAAGCTTGTGAAAGAAAACTTAGAACTGTGTTATAATCTTGTCAGTTGCAAACACTGTCTACTTTATTTCAATACACAGGTATTAGGTAACTCTTCTGTTGTTACTGTATACATGTATTATTGCCATTGATGATTTTGAAGAAACTGCGTCTAATATTTTCGGATTATCAGTATGTTTGGTAAAAAAAATTATATATATTTACTCTCTGACTCCTGGTGGGAACTGATTTTACCAGTGGGACAAGTTCAAACCAGTTCTAACCAGTATCAGAGTCAGAGGGCCATGTGATCATGGTATGCAATGTTTTACTATACAGTCAGTACCTATTTTGAAATTTTTTACCTAAAATGATGAATGGTTTTGTCAAGATTGAAAGATGGACAAATCCATTTCAGATATTTAGCATTGAATGGGTTAATCTTTTGAATTATTATCTTGTAGGGGTCAGGAATCGGGAAAGTTAAATTTTGAAGTGAAGCCACCTAGTTCTGGAAAAGCCTCGAGAAGAAAATCAGGTAGAAAGAGTGCAAGATCTAGTATTGATGCAACAACCAAAGAAACACAATCTGTAGAGTCAGCAAGATTAAAATCTTCTAGGACGGATAGAAATGATGCTGAATCAAGATTAAAATCTTCTAGGACGGATAGAAATGATGCTGAATCAAGATTAAAATCTTCTAGGACGGATAGAAATGATGCTGAATCAAGATTAAAATCTTCTAGGACAGACAGAAATGATACTGAATCAAGATTAAAATCTTCTAGGACGGAAAGAAATGATAATGAGGCAAGATTAAAATCTTCGCGGACTGATAGAAATGATAGTGACACTGTGTCAAGTAAAGATTCTCATATTCTAGGTTCTAGATTAAAAGACATTGAGAACGAGGTGAAAAAAGAAGACTTCTACGCATCTTCAGGACGGAAGGAGAAATCCAGATTATTAAAAGAAAAGTCAAGCCTGTCTCAAAAAGAGAAAAGTATTTATAGAGAAAATTCTGAGTTAGCGAGGGAGGAGACTATAGTATTTAAGGACCGCCCAGATTCAGGTCAGTCACGGTCATCAAATACGAAGCCCCGCCCACAGACTGGTAATAAAGCTAAAAATAGACAAGGGACACAGTCTAGAACAACCAGTAGACAAGGGTCAAGACCAGGTTCAAGGACTACTAGTAGAATAGGTTCCAGCCGGGCTGCATCTAGAAAAGAAAAGTAAGATTTAAAAATGATTTGGGTCAGTATTTTTACACTTCCCTGCGCTTAAAATTATTTCTTATTGACCAAACTGGATACAAAATGAAGATAATATGTAAATACCAAAACAATATAAAACGTTGAAATATTTACAGCTAATCACGCCAACAGCAAAAAGTAACATTCAACTTGTTGAACAGATTTTAGTAGAAAAAGTTTGCTTTTTACAAGAATTATGATTGAATTTTAGTGACTTTGTTACTTTAAGTGTGGTTATGCTAATTTTTTCATTGTCAAGTTGAGCTGAACTGACTATATTTTCACAAGATTGACTGTTACCAACAGTTGATATTGAAAAATGATGAAGATAAAATATAAATCTATAGGCCCACTCTTTCTATAAATTGGACATTACAGGTAACTTTTGATGGATATTTACATCAATTTCTTTTTGCCATATGAGCTATTTATCATTCATGTGAAATAAATGAGCCGCGCCATGACAAAACCAACATAATGGGTTTGCGACCAGCATGGATATAGACCAGCCTGCGCATCCTCGCAGTCTGATCAGGATCCATGCTGTTCGCTTACAAACTCTATAACAAGTAGAAATACTGATAGCGAACAGCAAGGATCCTGATCAGACTGCACGGACGTGCAGGCTGGTCTGGATCCGTGCTGTTCGCAAACGCTTTATGTTGGTTTTGTCGTGACGCGGCTCAAATAATAGAATAGAAAGGGATTATACCACAATGTAAACTTACTTTGACTTTCAACTCTGCATTCACTATAGTTCCTTTGAATGAGCATCATGCCACTTTGATAAAAGTAAAGTTGTTTTTTTTTACCAAATAATATATAAGAAGCTGAAAAGTTAATTATTTCAGTAAATTTCATTAAAATTTGAATTGAAACCACAAAAATTTATATAGTCTTAGAATATAACACTTCTGATATAAAACTTCTGAAATCTGATTTTTGCATGTGATGAACTTGATTTGAAAATAATTTTTTTTGTTGCACTTTCAGTCCAGGTTTACTAACTAAATCACCAAGTGATGCTCTCAAAGAGATAGCTAGAATGACCCCTAGTCAGGATACATACAAGGGTATAGACAGCTTCTTCATGGTTGGCGTACAACCCTCACAACAAGAGGAGAGAACCCTTACACCTACAAAACATAAAAATAAGGAAGAAAAAATCAAAGTCAGTTATCAATGTAAGTTGTTTTCTTTATTTATTTCATCTTTGCTACTCTTAAGGTAATTCTTGGTCTCTGTGGCTCAATAGGTTAAGTCGCTTATCTCTCACCATTTAGGTTTCAAACCTTGCTAGGGACTTGGAGTTCTTTCATGTATCCTTAGAGATGTTGAGTGATTTATCTGCCAATTCAATGCATGTAAAGTATGAAAAACTTATTCAGATGCTTAACAATTTTTACTATCAAATGAGTTAGTCCTTGCATAGATTGCAATTGGTAATTGTATGAAAAAAAGTCATTTTAGTTTAAGTTTATTATATAAGAAACTGATAATGCTTTGATAGAAAAATAAAGTTGAATATTGGTTTTTCGTGCAGCTATTAAGAGATTTTTTGTATATTTTATTTAAGAAATAATAAATCATAAACAATGATTTGAATTATCACTAGATAAAGTCACTGTTTGGAGTTTGGATGCAAGGAATTACATCATGAAGGCGCATGTGAACGACAAACAATGATTTTATCAAGCGATAAAATCACCAATTTGGATATATTATTTTGATTCTTACTTTAGATCAACAATTAAATGCTGCTGTACCAGATATTAAGCTAAACTGTGTCTGATTGTTTACATACTTATTTTCAGTGCGTCACATTTTTAGTGGTTATGTCACATGTCTAATCATAAAATGGTTATGTCACATGTCTAAAATATAAAATGTCAACAGTGATTTTATTGCATAATAACACACACCAACAGTCCTTCCATGTTCAATAGGGAAAAATGCAGGTTGTGATAGACTGATAAATAGTGGAAAATATTTCTTTCAGTGTACAACATGGCACCGCGATCATGGAAACCAGATTTTAGTTTGACGGATACAGTTGATGTAGATGATGTTGCTAAAGATGAGGCTGAAGATGACAGGGCTCATTCTGTGATGGCTTATCATGCATACAGGTCAGTATACACTCAGACCTTGTCAAAGCAATATACACATAGGCCTTGTGAAAGCAACCCACAACCATTACACCTATTGTTTGAGACTTTATACACACCCACTGATATGATAAATTCATAAAAATGTCTAACAGGATATTTTAATTAATTTTGCGAGAATGGTTTTACCTATTTTACAATATTTTACAATAGACTTTTTCCGACTGTCAAACTGGCATGGCTTATCCAAAATTATCTCATTGCCTCTTACAAGTCTGATTAATTGAACATAGTCAATTTACCAATTAACCAATTCAAACCTTGTGATATAATTTGTCTAAAGACTATATTTGAGATCTTACATTTATCATTTTACAAAGACTAGCATTGAATGTGTCCAAGTAATGTTATAAAATGTGAGCAACTGTGGCGATATTAATTTCTCTGGGAAAACTATCAAGCAAGCTTACGAAATGTCGCTGGTTCTACTCCGGTTTCCATTTGTGCCTGGAATAATGCACAGAAGGGGCACCTGAGGTTCTTCCTCCACCAGTTAAGCTGGAAGGTCACCATATGACCTATACTGTGTTGATGCGATGTGAAACCCAACAAAGTAGGCTAACAAAGTAGGCTCTTTTGTATTCATTTAATTACATAATATTATAAAACAAAATAATGGTACAAATCAACAAAATCATCAATACGTGGGTTACAATCTAACTGAAATTTCTAGTTAATTCAATATGAACTCAAATACTGTCATGTTTATTTTATCATCATTTACAAGTATTTTCCCTACTATGTGGCATGAATGAAACCAATTTTGGATTTAATCAGTAAAACATGTTAGAAGGACATCTTTATATTATATTTGTCTCATATTTTACAGTGAGCAATTGGTATCTGATATAACAGAAAGAATGATCAGTAGATTTGGAGAGCTCCCTCTTGATGATGATTCTCTTTCTGATCAGAGTAGCGGGGGAGCTTACAGGAGTCTTGGCGAGGAATATAAAACATTTACACCTAGAAGGTAATGTATTTGTTAATGAAATAGATACTTTTTCTGCCCCTATAGAGCGGCATATTATAAAAAAATGCACTGTCTGTATTATATTTATATTTTTATTAGATTATTTTGTGATTAGGATAGAAGCATTTAGTTAAAATTTAGATTTTATGTTTGTGATTTTGATAGTTAATTACACAAGAATAAAAATATTGTCCAATAGAATGTTTTAATTTATGGGGAAATATTGTTAAATAATACAGTAGATTTTGTTTGTGTGTATGTTTTTGCAACATGTATTTACTTATCATTATATCACAATTTTTAAAATTGCATCATCTATCTTATCTTCAGCCATGGATCAAGTGTTCAGAATTCACCTAGCATGTCTGGACGTGCTACACCTATCCAGTCAACACGGTCACAAATCCGAGACAGTTCCCAGACGCCCAGAAAACCTCCGGTACAGCCACCATCCCAGACACCTAGACAGTCTGCCAGGTCCAGAGCACAAACGCCAAGACTGACAAAATCAAGAGCAGAAGTTAAAACACCCAGAAGATCTAAAACATTCCATGGAGAAATAGAAAGACCAGAGTCTAGAGCAATAGGTATAAAAGAATTTTGCAAATGAACAGGAAAGCTTTTAAGATTAACTGAAAGGCATAACAATTTTTCACAATAAGACAAGGCAACATCAGTATAATAATGTTTAAGTAATGTTTTTCGAACATGTTAGATGTTTTATGCACGAAGATAAGAGCGCTTAATGTAACATTAATTGTTCATAAAAGTAGCAAAATGTAAGCAAAGTAGTATTTTATTATTTATCTTACACTAGTGTTATAACACTTTGACATGACATCATTTGCCTTACATACAAACATATTGTTAAAGCTTAGTGCTAAACTAAGCCTTACACTATAGGTGTGTCAACCAAAAATAACTCATTTTAACTTTAAACCTTTTATTTTTAGATAAATGTGATAAATTGAATATTATGTTCGTGTAGAGGCTTGCATAATATGATTTTATTCTACTTGTTCAATAAATTTAGTATTAAATCTACATTCATTCAATCTCCACTATTTGATATTTCAGTTATGGAAGGTACAGATCTGAGTATATTTGATCATGTTGGCGAGAAAGACAACAGGGACCAGGAAGATGAAGATGCCCTAGGTCAGCTGGAGTGGGAACTGGCCTCACAATCCGGCAGGGTCACTGGTATGAGACCAAATTTAACATTTTCTACCAACAGCTATATTTGTTAATATTCTGGGTTTTTCATTGGTTATTAGTTTGATATATATCAGTGGGAAACTGGGCATAAATTTCTTACATGTGCAGTATCTCCTCTACCTTTTGTTTCTGAGGCGAGTTCATTCAAACTTTCACAAAAATGATAATTGTCATAAACTCAAATTTTACGCATACTTTAATAAAAAATAAATAAATTGAAGTCATACAACTTATTTTCATAAAATTACAGTTACAATAGAAAAAAGTACTAGAGATTAATAATTTTATTACAAAATTACTTGGGGCGTCTGTGGCCAGGTGGTTACGGTCGTTGACTTCAAACCACTTGGCTGTCATTACTGTGTCGGTTCCAATCCTGCACATGAAATATTGCACGGAAGGGCACCTGAGGACTTCCTCAACCAGTAAAACTGGAATGTTGCCATATGACCTATACTATGTCAGTGTGACGTAAAACCCAAACAAACAAACAAAATTACTTTTAAACTTCATCCTGTCGATTGATTCTACCTATGCAACCATTTCAGGCCTGATCATGGTCTGCACTGTTTGCTATTCAGTCAGTACATCCTATTCAATTTTCCCTAAAAATGGTTTTGTCCAGCTTGAATGATGGACAAGTGCATTTAAGATATTTTGTGGTAATGTTTACTTAAACTATTACATATATTGTAATTGTGTCACATTATAAAAGTAAAAATTGAGATAACGTTTGTTACAGCGGAAGGCAAGATATCCCGGATGGAAATGCCAGAGGACATGTCAGATGATTCTATAAATAGCAGTCTGGAAAGTTTCCGATCAATGAGCAGGCTCGGACAAGACCAGGGATATGATATTAACAGTAGACTAAGGTATGTTGTCAGTGATTTTTCTCGCTTAATTGGGTGAAGCCTTAGCCTCTTGATTATGGAAAAATTATCGCTAAAATTGCTAATTTGAGAAGAAAAAAGCATGTTTCAGTTCAGATTTTTGGGAAAACTGCATGATTTTAAAGAAAATTTCAATTGGGAAGAGGCCCTTTTTCGGAGTCTTTTATATAAGTAGGAAAATCACTGGTTGTTGAATTAGAACCTAGGGTTGGATTGTGTAATAAGATTCATGTGTTTAAATGCTTTTAAGTAAATCTAGTCGTTTTAAGAATGTCACAAAAAAATGAATAAACGCAGTTTAATCAGTAGTACATTTATTTGTCATTTTGTTTTATGTGCCCCAGATGATCTTTGTTAGTTTTATGCAGGGATATCAGTTTTCTGCAGATTTCAAGGTCATCAGGACCACTTTTGTAAACGACGTAAATCTCTATCTCCGAGTTTGCTACCGTGTATTGTCCCATTGTAAATATTTTGGACAGTACCATGTTCGGATATGTTCAGTTATTGTCGCTATTACATTAAGCAAATGAACGCTAGTGTTACATATACCAACCAATAGTAATGTAGCGTCTTTCTGTAGTTGAAGGAAGAAAAACAAAATGTTGGCCGATTAGCAAAGGTCATATTAGATAATGAGAATGTTTGATAAAGCACTACACAGTAATGAATTCTAGACCATCTGAAAGGATGGAAAACCAGGAGCTTCCCCTAGTCCCCCACCATAACCCTTCAAGGCCGCCATGACCCCTTGCGTTCATTTTGCTCTTTTTTTCAAATTACCTGTTGGCATCCTTGGTTTTATGTTTTTAGGCTTTTGGATCTCAGTGGACCTCCTTTAAAGTTTCTTCTTAATTTGATACCTTGGAAAAATTATTAATTTTTGAGAATGCTGCTTTAATTACAGATATTTTATATGTATTACAGGAAAGATGAATTGGAGGATGAGGACACAATAACAGATGATGAAAATGATGTCAGGAATCTCATGTGATAAAAATGTTTATTATGACTCATTTGGAATGAAAAAAAGCAGCTACAGATTCAACGTTATTTACAAAAGCATTAAAGAAAAAAGGGGAACACAATGTTTTAAACACATCAAATACCATATAACAGTTAATTAAAGTGTGTGCAATGAAATTATAATGTGTGGTGATATTTAATTACGTTAACTATTATTTGATAATGGATTTCGTATTTTGACAGATATTTTTTGTTCTTAGAGTTGGCCTTGTGAAATTTAAATGTTGTTCTTTCAGCTTTTTTTTGCTAGCAAAAGTCTTTGTTAAATTGTAGGTACAAATGAGTATAAGTCTATTTATGTATAAGATGACCATATTGTCAAACACTTGTTCTTTTTAGGAGTAATTTAAGTCTGCTATTAAAAATTTTGTGTAATGAAGTATTCATTGAAATACCATCAAAGGTTGTAAAACTTGATTCATTAATATTGTCATTATCATTCAAATACCATCAGATTTTGTCAAATTTGATTTATTTATTATTCTACATGGTTCACAATCATGTTTCTTTTTATGACACCTGATTACTGGTCTGTTCTAGGATTCGGAATAGAGAGTAATTCAAATAATTTAAAAGCTTCCTTTGCAATTTTGATATGTTTATAACTACTTAAAGGCCGATCTGTATACATTTCATACTTTTTAAAAATTTGCAAAACATTTCATCATATTCAGTAGATAACTTACCATATTGTGTTCTGATAGAAAATTATAATATACTTTAAAGGGACTGCACTGAGGGTTTTTGACATGACGGGACTGGAAATAATTTTTCTGGGTTTATGTTCCATTTGATGTAGGTCCAGACCAATAACTTGTGTCTAAAATTTCAGAGCATTTGCTTACTCCAGAATAATTATAATAAATGTGGAAAATGACCAAAAATAGGCTTTTCATTCAAATCTGGATATATAAATAGCACAACAATACAATTTTCAATTTATTTCTGAGTATATTTCTTTACTTTCTTTAATATATGTTTGTTTTAAGTGCCCCAGCTGATATATGTAAGAAATTTAAATTTTACTTTTTTAGACTTTTTGACCCCTCAGTGGAGTTCCTTTAATGAAGAGATACTGTTTTATCTTATAGTATTTGTCAATTATCTGCAGCTGAGTTGATGTGTAGAAAGGTTTATACATGTAACTGAACAAATATAACTGAAATTACTGTTGTGAAAGCTAACAAATGGAGAAAATATTTATATTGTGTTATTGTTTTTAAACTTTTTTTTGCATTTATTAAAGAATGGTTGAAATATCTCTCTCACTTTGTTGTTATTTTTAGCTCGCCTGAGCAGTAGCATATGAGAGCTATTATCATAAGCCAATGACACATCAGAACAGATAAATACAGACACAGTTTTGACTTCATCAAATTTAATCAGAATGTTCAAATTAATGATTATACCTTCAGTGAGTTTAGATATGGGTCATCTTGAAAGCAGGTCAAATTTAAGAATAAACTTTTGAACAGCTATTACTTGATCTTTATCAAACTTTGCAAGTGATATAGTGTCAAAAACTACCATTCATACATAAAAGGCAAGCTCGCTTATAAAACCTACCTAAATCATGGACTGGCAAATGGAGGGATTCAAAGAATACCTTAATGGCCTATTGCAGCCCTTCTTATGACCAGTTACTTGCAATGAAATGGAAAGGAAACGTTGAACCTGAGTAAAGTACAGCGATTTTTGTTCACTTTGATATCGGGCTTGTTTTCTTGAAAAATGAGATTGAAAACTTGCCAAATGAAGAATTCAAATTTGATTATATTTGGTGAAAATCGTATTTGCTGTATAGGTTTGGATATTCACCTCATCATATGATAATTGTTCACTAATCGTATTCCCCAGAAATGAAATTTTCTTGCTGACAACTAGTTTCAAATTGTGTTTTCATGAGATAAATCTCAAATTACTGTCCCCTGTCAGAAATTGCATCTCTGAAATCAGAACAGGTAGTGCTTGAAACTTAAATTATTAAATATATCTATGATGGGCCATAATTATGCAAGGTCAACAGGCCAAGTTGCACAATTTTTAATTGCATTTTGACAAAGTTACGCCTCTTTCCTAACTTCGCTGCTTCTTTGTTTCAATAAATGGGCACAATCAAAGGTTATTCAGCTTTCTGTACATTGGTGATCTTGTTTTATATATTGGCTACATTTGTTGTCTGTTGCAAGAAATATCAATACATAATTGCAAGTTTCAAAATGATATTTCACCATCATATGAAACATTTTAAGGACCCTGGCTTTTCAGTTCTCATAAACTTTGTAATTTAAAATAAAAATAATTAAGTACCTAAATGTTTAGGCCCATCTTGGTAACTCACAGATATCAGGGAACACCCACAGGCGTTTGTCTCATTTGTTTTGTCAATAATGGTAAAATTATCATAAAATTATCTCCCTTGATCATCAAGAACAAAATTACTTATCCATCACTCGTTTACAAAATATTATATGATTAAAGTAAACAGGTGCTCAGTTCGCAAGACAAATTAGCGAAAATCCTATGGGTCAATCAAGTAATACATGTCACTCTAACATCTTGTCAGTGACTCGTTAATAGATGAGGATACATTTTCACAAGTCAATGAATTTAAATCTAATATAGTATTTCAAGTCAGCACAGTAAGTTAATAAGACATTATATTACATGAAACTATTAATTATGACCACAGAGCTATATTTAAGTTTGTATGCTAGTCTTATTTCTGACTACATGATTATATATCAGCTGTCGGTGTTTTCTGAACATGAGCTCTATTTTCGAGTCTTTTTGGTAATTTTTTATTCTTTCCGGTTGTTGTTTTTGTAAACAAATCGAGAGATAACAACAAATTATTAAAACCATAACATTTAGCCAATTATCGAATTTTAATATCTACTATTTACATAAGAAAGCTTTAAGTTAAAGTAAGAAATAAGAAAATATTTTGTTTTTATGCAAGATTTATGCATTTAAACATTATTTAGCGACAAGTGCAGCAGTACTCGGATAGTCGGATGTTTAGCTCTAGGTAAGTCATTCCATGACACGGATTCAAATGAAAGGTTTTATGTAAAAGATCTACCTAAAAGAAACATGCAAATGGCTTTATTTTCAATACAACTATGTAATACTATTGCAATGACATATCTTTATTTCAAAGTAAAAGGACACTGTCTTCATTTATAATCAATTTATTGTCGATACAAAATAACAAAATAAATTGTTTGGTCCCATAATTCTGACCCACATAATTTGTTAAATTTTAGAGGAACTACAGTAAAGTCATAGAGATATAGGGGAAATCCGGATAAATACGGACGACTTTTGCACTTTGGTGCTCAATAACTTAGAGCAGAACGCATAGCTTCGATCGACATACCAACACAAACTTATTTGTTCGGAAAACTATTTACACGGATATTTAGCATCTCATAAAGGCAGACATGTGTCCGAGATATTGCTAGTTATCAAAAATAAATTACCTCTTAAAACCGGGATAGTACGGACACACGAGTAGAACTACGGACACAAGACGGGGAAATACGGACAATAAATATTTCAAAGGGGGAAGTACGGACACTTATGTCTTTTTAAAAAAAAGTCAATTCCACGCGTTTTGATACTCTATTGTCTATTCTAAACATGTACAAATGAGAAAATCAACTTTGCTGGAAATCTCCGCCTGCCCATTTCGTCGTTTTAATGCCCTGCAAGAACAACGTGAATGCATAATTAACATGTTATATATGAAATACATCAAGTATGCTTTTTATATATTTTGGTCAATTTTATTAATACTTTTCAGTTAGTAATTAAGAAGTTGTTAATATTCACATCATATGTATTGATTATTTTTAAGTACAGAAATACGTAAAAAAGGAATAATTAAATATATACTTTATGAATGAAAATAATTCATTATAAGTAGACAATAGGTAAGTACGACAGCATAGGTTAGTACGACAGCATAGGTAAGTACGACAGCATACAAACTAATTAACTTAAAAATCTATCAAACTATTTAGAACTAAATGTTAAGTAATTAATGTAGTACGCATGAAAGGAATGAAGAAAGTGCTGAGCGAGTAGGTATTAGTTAAATTACCATTAGCTATGATAGGTTTGTAGCATCATGCACTGGCAGTCTCTACCAACTCTACAACTGTTTTTCTTCCCTTTTTGGTCTTTCTGTTTTCTTTGAGTTCCGATTTTATTTCATTACTTTGTTCTTTCTTAATTCTTTTACTGTTTTGTTTCATTTGCGTCTTGAGTACCCTTTGCAACTTTTGTGTCTGTAGAAGCCTTTTCTCTTCCAAAATCTCCATGCTTGTTAGAAGTTTATGTCCTGTTACTTTTTTCACTCTTGATGACTGTGGACGGCTTTTTGCTACTTTTGGTGTAAACAACTCATCAAGGCATTGACTAACTGACTCGTCAGATTCGATAGGTTGTGGGTTATTATTTTCAAGTACATTTGTGTTAATGGACGACACTTCATCGTAAGGGAATGATGTATCAAGATCTTGTACAAATACATCTCCACTGTTGATCAAATCCATTAGCTGTGACGGGTCACTGATGTCAAGAACAGAACTTAAACCTAAATCACTGGACGAATCTACTGGACATATCTCACTTGTTGTCTGGGATTCATTGTGTAAAGATAAAGTTGGGCTTATGTCTGTTGGTTTACTTGGCAAGAAGGCACTTGAGGGTATAACATTTCTGTTAAATGGCACGATGCCACAGGCTCTAAATCCAGACATAATGTTTGATTCATTAAGAGCTGTACTCCAAGCCTCTTTTAATAATGCAGGGAATGTCCACTTATTTACTAAATGTAATGGATGATCCTGCATAAATGCAGAACAGGCCTCATTGTATGCACGCTTAAGAGGACCAAAAACAGTTCTGTCTAAAGGCTGGAGGTAATGAGTGCAATGAGGTGGTAGAGTAAGGAGCATAATATTCTCATCGATAGCCCTTTCAATTATAGCTAAAGATTCATGACTGGAGTGGCCATCGATTATCAATAATTGGGGGCGTTCTGGACCACAGTTTCTGAGAAAAAGCTCATCAAACCACTGCTCTCCTATTTCGTCAGTTATCCAACCGTTCTTCTGATATGTCCAAACAGTACCAGACGGACTGGCAGTGGTGTTAAAAGAGTGTAGTGACCTCTTTGTTTTGCCTTTTGCAATTAACATAGGTGGCATTTGCTGACCACATGCATTTACACATGCCATTGCTGTTATGTTAGTTGAACGGTTGGTTGTTTTGCTGACAACCGTGCGTGTACCTTTCTCAGCAACAACTTTCACAGGACAGTGCTCGAAATTGAACCCAGTTTCGTCCGCATTCCATATTTGATGCGGTTCAAGGTTACTACTAGAGATAATTTGACCAAGATCGTCAAAGTACTTTCCAATTACCTCAGCATTAAGCATTCTTGAACGCACTGATGAAAGCTTCTCAGGGGATCTGATAACAAGTTCGGGATGCCTCTTGCGCACACCCTCCCACCAGTCCTTGCCAGCGTGAAAGTCTTTATATGAAGACTGGAGCTTTATACGCTTACAAAGAACGTTTGTTCTAAGCAAGATCTGCTTGCGACTTAGACCTATGCCTAACTGAGAGGCAACTTTTACACTGTTTACTATTTTATCCTCTATATAAGAAGGAAGAGCTGGAGGTCGACCGTGCGTAACAGATAAAGCGTGTTTTCCAGATATTCGATCTGCTATTGTTGACTTAGGAATTGCATAAGCTTCACTAGCTTTTCTTATGCTCATTTGTCCGGACTGTACAACCTCAACTGCTTCTTGTAGAGAAGACTGGTTATACTGCATGGTTTTACCCCTTTTAGTATATACATATTTTTTGGGCATTTCTGGAATAAAAAGCATGTGATAGTGTATGCCACGAGAACATGTGTCGACACTGATCGAAATAGATTAGGAAGAACGGGTTTCCTCCACCATTAAAGCTAGAGAGCCGCAAATAGGCCTTTAGTGTGATGGTGCAACGTTAAACCGAATAACAAGAAGAAAATTATTCATGAAATAGTTACAGCTATGATATTTTAGACAGAGGGACGGACGGACGGGAACAGGCTTTAAAAGGAATAAAAAAGCTGCTACCCATGTCGACCGCTAAACATCAATGCATTTTAACGATCAAATCTTGTTATTAATATCATAAGACTATTTTATTTCTACATCATTAAAGTATATTAACTTGATCATACTTAAACTACAGATGACAGTTGTTGGTAGTAACATTGATATATTGAGTAAGATAAAACAACGGGTATATTTTATCATTTTGTATCTTTAATATTTGAAACGTATTTTCTTTATCTTTATTTTGAAATATGTTACAATGTCTTTTTTATATTAGAACTACATCGAACTCATTTTTATTTCATCAATGATTTTTGAAAGTTGAAAATCTTCTGTTTCATTTGCATAGTAAGATGCTGTCCACACTATACTTCTGTCAGGATCAAATTTTGTGGTTTCAAAGTATTCGTGCAGTAATTTCATGGCACTCAGATCATTATCACATTTGTCTACTAAATAATTATACAGTAAAATCAGGGAAGGGTGCTCAAAAAGGTATTCATTCTCGTACATATAAAATAGGTGATTCTCCACCATTGTTTTCATCTGAAAAAGTTTTGATAAGCCTGTAATTTCTGCTGTTCCGAGTATTTGAGGAATTGAGTTTGTTCTACAAATGTTCATTCTTCCTAAAATGCAGAACAATACTACATTTAGTGAAAAATTTCGTATCTTAAAAAAGTTGGAAATAATCTGCATGCAAAGCCTCGTTTCATTTAAAAATTTGTTAACTCCTGTCCGTATTTACCCTAACTTATGTAATATCCATGGGGAAAATACGGACAGTACAAAATTGCTTATTTTCTACCTTATCGTGTTATAATATATAAAAAGAGACCCATTTACATGTCACTCTACCCCTGCGAAAACATCAAGACTAAAATGTACTAGGGGTACATGTCAAAAAATTACAAGTTTCGGGAAATTTACCGGCGTTTGAATTTTCCCGCTTCCAAACTTAGACTTGCGCACACAAAGGAAGTAGACACCTATACACTTTAGGCATGCGCATGATGACGTTATGTTGCAATGACGTATTTCCGCTTTTATGAAGAGTCATAATAAAACCCAAAGATTCCTTGACTAAACAAAGAGAGAGTATATCGTAAGTGGTACGAAAGTTACGAAGGAGAAAAGAACAAATGTCCGCATTTACCCATATGTCCGTATTTTAACGGATTTCCCCTACTACCGGCTACTAAGTCATGATGCCAATAATTGCATTATTTTTTTGTTTTATAATATAGATTGTCACACAGATATATATAATATATATACAATGGATAGGAAGCTCTGAGAATAGACGATAGTCAAATTCAGACTCACAATCTTTTGCACGCTTTGGTGATAAGCTGGAATTCCTGCTAGTCTCTGATTTTTGCCCTCTCGTTAAAATTGAGTGATATCCGTGAATTATTGTTTACATTGCCAACATGGATTTTCATTGGAGAAATATTTGTGTGGAAAAGCGTGTTTTCTTATATAAGAAGAAAATGATTCCCCTTTTTTGTCGATGTAATAAGAAGAAAATGATTCCCCTTTTTTGTCAATGTACATCTGAGAATTAAATATGGCGGTATTTTGGCTACTTTTATCCAGGATGCATCAAATCTCGGAAAATCCCGCGACATATGATAACTTGCATGAACACAATTCCTCCTATACTGTATTTAACTGTGTGACGTCACAGTTTCTTCTCCATCTATATTTAGCTCCATGATTGTCATTGGTATGTTTTAAAGATGACAGGTTTTTTGTTTTTGTTTCTTTTTATAATTGAGAACAGCAAGACTTAGTGGTTTAGCCCAATTAATTTGGCCTGAATGGTTTTGCCCACTTTACAGGCTCAGCATACATATTTTGCTATGTCGAACCGAACAGATATTATCACAGGGTTGTCATAAAGATTTCTATTAGACAGTCCATTTGATTTGAAGGCATTTTTAGTTTTATCATATATACAAGTTAGAAGTAGTGTGTTAATTTATAAGACTCTATGACAACCTTGCATTATGCATGCATTGATAATCTTCATGTATCTTTGACATGTTTAATTATTTAGACTACCAGTGGTATTAAATCATTTTTCAATTTGATTGGTAGTCGAACTGAGCAAAAATAGGAGAGGCAACAATGGCAGATAAAAAAAGGGCATACCAGTTACATGAACTGTTAATAATTAACATGTCAGAAAATCAAAGGAATTTACATAAGAACATTAAAGAATATAGTTGATTAATTAAAAGGCATTGAAGAACAGATATAAAGGGGTATATAAGGGACAAAAATTCAGAGGGGAAGTTGTAACAACAATAACTGTGACAAAGGAAATACTAAAAACTGGTAAATGGGTATATAGGAATACAGAGGGGCACAGCTACTGGAGAGTTGTAACAGATTAAAGTTGCACTAGACCTCTCTCTTATTGCCACTGGCCCAGTATGTTCCTGTAAGAGAAGACAGCGTAAAAGTAATGTTTCTTCCTCTGAAGCATAATTCAAAAAACAGATTCTTTGGTTACAAAAGGTTAATTGAAATAATACAAAAATGCTTCTGTACAAACATACACATTGAATACATACAAAAGTAAAACAAATTGAATATATGCAAAAGTAATCAATGCCTTGAAGGCAGACAGAGCTGTTAGCAAGAAAATTACCTTTAAGAGCTGAACAAAACAAAGCAAAAGAAAAAAATCAAATTATCATATCATTTTTAGATACATGTATATATATACATGTAGCAGGTGAAATTATTTGTTTCTTACTTTAATAAATAGAAGTTATTATTTTCGCAACATTAAACAAGTTAGGAAAATCATAATTGCACAACACAAATTCAATCCAGTTTCTAAATATCAATTTTATTTTAAAAATGTGTGACTATTTGAATATATATTTAGTTTTTTCCGTATGTAGTAAACATGTATTTTGCGTATAATGTTTGCTCTGTTTATCATACACAAAAATAACTAAGAATGTATTTTTTTCTAATACTTAGTTTTATTACATATTTTAAATCCATGATATTATTTAATAAATTATTTTAAATTTAATGTCTGTTCTGTATTGTGTTTTGAAATTCATTTTCCTGTCAAAAAAATGGCCAGTTCCTGAAAATAGAAGTCAAAATTAAAATAATGTACAGTCTAATGTACTGTATAAATAAATAATGAACAGTCTATATTAATAAATTCATGTACAGTCTAAATAAATTAATTTTCAGATGCAAGTTAAGGAATTCATGTTTGCATTTTATTAGTTTTCTTTGCTTTGGTTTTTTTTTGCAGCTGCGCGACCAATTCAATTTTGTAAATACATACTAAATAAATAAATTTTAACCAGCTTAGTGTTTTAAATTATTTTTATAAACAGCGATTTACTAGACTGATTAACAGATTGCCGATATACCAAAGTAAATGTGTTACGTTTCTTTTGAAATACTGCAATAAAATACTTAAATTGGACGAAAAATAATTTCAAACACTAAATAGTACTGGCGATCATTATATTACTTAACTCACATACAGCTAGAAGTTTTGGCTTAGTAGTCTAATGCTTAATATGATATTTCTTGCCTCCTGGAAGGTTATACATATAACTATAATTTTATATAGCATTATAAGTTATGAATTGTAGTAATACAGGATGTCAATTTTGATAAACTCAGTTGTTTATTAAAATATCTTTAAGTCATAATTAAAAAACATGGTATAGGTTGTTCGACCGTTGTTGAAAAGTTTGTTGATGAAGTACATATTATTTTCATTATCACTCTTCTGGAACAAAAAATAGATGGTTTCCTTTAGCTCTCAAGGTAAAATAGAATAGGGTAGTTTTTACACTTGACCAATAATATCCTGTTGGAATTGTAAAAAGTAATTGGCCTTTGGTATCAGTAAAAACCAAGGGTGGATGTCTCGAAAGCCTCGTATCCCTTACAATGACTGTAACACTGACGTAAGACTATCGTAGCATTTTTTCTGATTGTCTCGAACAGTTCGTAATTTAAGAATCATCATAAACATCTAGTAAAGATACGGTTAAAAAATTGACCCCATAAGAACATCGTAAGTCTACGATAACGAATATAATTGGATTCCATCTTGTCAATGTAGCCTCATTTTCATTTTAAGAGTAAAAGAAAATCCATGTCAAATGTATAATATTGTACTTAATCAAGCCTCTTTTTCATTTTTACAGTCCAAAGAGTCTGTATCAAATGCATATTGAACTCAAGACAGCCTCATTTTTATTTTGCAAGTCCAAACACTACATATAAAATCCATATTGTACGCAAATAAACCAAGTTCTGTCAAAACATTGATGGTGTGAAATGAAGATGTCATTGACAATACTCTGGTTTTATTGACCTTAAATTTGACAAGGGGATAGAATTCATTATTTAACACAACAACTTCATATTAATAACCTCATATTATCATTGAAATAAAATCCATATCTTGCACAGTATATCACTCACACTGGGACCAGATTGTACTGATAAGGGGATATCACTGCTTAGGAGATTGCTGAACTTGATTTGGCGAACATTTTAATTTTTATTATTTCCATAATAAGTGATTGTAGTGTTTTGTTCTAAATGGCACATTTCTCGATTCAAATGTTGTTATTTCTTTGTTTAATTAAAGTTAAAAATAACGCCGTGATTGTGACTATAAATTTAAAATAACATTTCTTTATGTATAGTCCACGCAGCAGTTGAAC